CGACCTCCTCATCGCGGCCAGCGGCAGATCAACGGACGGCAGTGGGTGGCCGCACGGGGTCCGCGTGAGCAGGTGGCCGTGTTCCACGTCGTGGAGTCGCGAGAGAGGCTTGCCTGGCGTTGAATCAACCACCCGATGAGCAGAGGGCCAATCAATCAATCAACTCTCCCCCCCCCAGATCCCTCTCTCGCTCTCTCCTTGCATCCCAGATCCGGCACTCGTGGGGAGTGGTGGGCGTGTGTGGGGGGATCTTTGTTGATTTAAATTGTCGTCGAAAGAAAAACACATGCAATGGGTCGGGTGCACTACGTGTAGTGGAAATTGCGATAGACGCACACAGTTGAGCACGTACGTTTTCGCGACCAATATTATTCACAATAAAGGGTTTTGGGGTTCGATCGCGTAAGTATAAATAAATGTGTCTTAACCCTCCACCACCCGACACAGCCAGTAAGGTTTGTCACGTAAACGCGCCAATTCGTTTACTAGTATAGTGTAGAGTATAGTGTAGTGTATAGTGTAGTGTATGGTGTAGTGTATAGTGTAGTGTGTAGTGTATAGTGTAGTGTGTAGTATATAGTGTGTAGTGTACTACTTCAGCCCACCAGTGTGTTGGAGAGTAAATCCACGTTTACAATTTGAGTACCATGACGTTTCGCTCGTAATTACCACAACCAGCATCATCAGGCGATCTGCCAGAATAGTGAAGCAATCCACCTGCTTCTTGCGTCTTCAGGGTCAGGATCGAACCCACGACCTCCTGTATGCCAGGCGAGGTAGTTAACATCTCCTAGCCACCGCGACGATGATGATGAGAGAGAAACGCAACCTCTAAAGAAACGGTTTAACTTGTAGGCTTTCACGACCAATAACTATTCACTAGCTTGTTTGCCCGTCCTAGGACGGAAGCTGTAATATTTACGAATCCAATATACACCACTATACACTACTATATACTGCGCACTAAACACCACTATACACTACTATACACTACTAAACACTACACTATACACCACTATACACTACTATACACTACTATACACTACACTATACACCACTATACACGACGCACTATACACGACACTACTATGCACTACACTATACATTACACTATACACCACTATACACTACTGTACTATACACTACACTATACACTACACTATACACTACTATACACTACACTATACACTACACTCAACTTACAGCCTCACGTCGGTTCTCTGCTGTCGCCCCCTCTGAGTGGAACTCTCTACTCACATCCACAACATCGAATTCACTCGGACTTTTATTAAACATCTAAAGGCCTCTCTTAATACACATCTAAAGGCCTCGCTCTCTCTCTGGTCTCAGGGCTTTCGAGCAGCCCAGAGCGTGTCTCCGATCCTCTGAGTTCTTGTCATGTTTGCAAAATCTGGCGAGTTATAAATGGAATTATTACTTGGTCTTCGTGGAAAAGCAGGCCAATTACCACTCGTCCAGAGGTGGGGGAGGGAGGGGGGGGCCTCTCTAGAGGAGGTCGTTCCGCCCGCAGTGACGCGGGGTGAGCTATTGCAGGGCTGCGCCTTGACCGTGTCGCTGGTCATGGCCACGGGCACTCACAAGAGAGGGCACTCGGCTGTGCGTGGAGCGTGAAGGTGAGAAGCGTGGTGGTGGTGGTGGTGAGTGGGGAGAAGTGGGGGGCTGGAGGGCCCCCCGCCACGACAAACCCACCCCAGGTTCATGTCGGTGGTGGGGAGGTGAGGGGGATTGGAGGGGAGAATGCTTCTAAAGTCGAATTTTTTTTTTTTAAACGGATGTCAAGAAGCGACCTGGCTATCACGAATGGATAAGCTCAAACAAAGTGGCCTGCCGTGTATTTTGTATTGCAGCCAAATACCGTACTACTCTAGATGTGCAGGGGAAAACTCGAGGACCCGGAGAAAAATCCACGCGACCATAATAAATAATAGTACAATTTGTAACGCGCGCAAATTTGCGGACGTAGTGGCCGCAACTCAGAGGCGCGGAGCCAAGCTCAGAGTCGCTCGAAAGCGTAGTTGTAGAGGTGAGTTTTTAAGTCTCTCTTGAAGGAGGCGATTGAGGTGATGCTGCGAATGTGCAGAGGGATATCATTCCAGACTGTTGGGGCTGCCATCGAGAAGCGGCGCATAGACATGACCATCCTGGATCTTGGTATCAAGAGAGAGACACCGCAAACTCAAATTATACAGGGTGTTTCAAATAGATGGACCCGATTTGAAATCGCTATATCTCTGCAACCACGAACCGCTCATGAATTACACTCTTACCACTTGAAAGGGCGGGGCATAGAGTTTAAAATGAGTACCGCAAGATGCCTCTCCCAGCACACAAACAGCGTGTTTTGTTTTAGCCATGGGAAAAATGTCGCAGAACCCGGAGGGAAACCCACGTTGCACAGGGACAGAGAGAGGTAGTTTCTACCTACGTGACTTTACCGAAAAAAACAAAGAATATGAATCCCTGCAGTCACGAAAGCTTCAAATCAAGATTAGACTCCTCGCACGAAGCACCACGCAGAACAGCGCCCGAGTCGCGGTAGAATCTTCCCAATACGGTAGAATCTTCCCAATACGGTAGAAGCTTCCCAATACGGTAGAATCTTCCTAACACGGTAGAATCTTCCCAACACGGTAGAATCTTCCCAATACGGTAGAATCTTCCCAACACGGTAGAATCTTCCCAATACGGTAGAATCTTCCCAATACGGTAGAATCTTCCCAACACGGTAGAATCTTCCCAATACGGTAGAATCTTCCTAACACGGTAGAATCTTCCCAACACGGTAGAATCTTCCCAATACGGTAGAATCTTCCCAATACGGTAGAATCTTCCCAACACGGTAGAATCTTCCCAACACGGTAGAATCTTCCCAATACGGTAGAATCTTCCCAATACGGTAGAATCTTCCCAACACGGTAGAATCTTCCCAACACGGTAGAATCTTCCCAAGCTGGTAGAATCTTCCCAACACGGTAGAATCTTCCAAACCCGGTAGAATCTTCTCAAGCTGGTAGAATCTTCCCAACACGGTAGAATCTTCCCAAGCTGGTAGAATCTTCCCAACACGGTAGAATCTTCCAAACCCGGTAGAATCTTCCCAAGCTGGTAGAATCTTCCCAACACGGTAGAATCTTCCCAACACGGTAGAATCTTCCGAATACGGTAGAATCTACCCAATACGGTAGAATCTTCCCAACACGGTAGGATCTTCCCAAAACGGTAGAATCTTCCGAATACGGTAGATTCTACCCAATACGGTAGATACTTCCCAACACGGTAGAATCTTCTCAATACGGTAGAATCTTCCCAATACGGTAGAATCTTCTTAATACGGTAGAATCTTCCCAACCCGGTAGAATCTTCCTAATACGGTAGAATCTTCCCAACACGGTAGAATCTTCTCAACCCGGTAGAATCTTCCTAATACGGTAGAATCTTCCCAACACGGTAGAATCTTCTCAACCCGGTAGAATCTTCCTAATACGGTAGAATCTTCCCAACCCGGTAGAATCTTCCTAATACGGTAGAATCTTCCCAACACGGTAGAATCTTCCAAACCCGGTAGAATCTTCCCAAGCTGGTAGAATCTTCCCAAGCTGGTAGAATCTTCCCAACACGGTAGAATCTTCCGAATACGGTAGAATCTACCCAATACGGTAGAATCTTCCCAACACGGTAGAATCTTCCCAAAACGGTAGAATCTTCCGAATACGGTAGAATCTACCCAATACGGTAGAATCTTCCCAACACGGTAGAATCTTCTCAATACGGTAGAATCTTCCCAACACGGTAGAATCTTCCCAACACGGTAGAATCTTCCCAACACGGTAGAATCTTCTCACCACCGTAGAATCTTCTGAATACGGTAGAATCTTCCCAACACGGTAGAATCTTCCCAACACGGTAGAATCTTCCCAACACGGTAGAATCTTCTCACCACCGTAGAATCTTCCCAATACGGTAGAATCTTCCCAACACGGTAGAATCTTCCAAATACGGTAGAAGTTTCCCAACACGGTAAAGTCACGTAGGTATAAAATAAATCACTATTTTAACCAAATAGTATGGATTCCTGCAGTCATGAAAACAACATCGAGATCGCGTAAATATATTAATGTGTCATTACAAATAATACAAAAAAACACGATCGGAGTGCAAAGTACAAGAAAGAGATCGCCCAAACACATTCACATAAAACTAAACCATTTCCATCCCACCAGGCAAAGCCCCCTGAGGTGGTTACTTATTTTTCATTCTCAGAACAATAAAACCCCATCACCGAATTCAGGTAGATTCTTCCTAAACCGGTAGAATCTCCTGCAGATTATATTCTCAGAATAAAACGCCACCACCGAATCCGGTAGAATCTTCCTAAACCGGTAGAATCCCCTGCAGATTATATTCTCAGAACAATAAAACGCCACCACCGATTCCGGCAGAATCTTCCTAAACCGGTAGAATCTTCTGCAGGATATATTCTCAGAACAATAAAACGCCACCACCGATTCCGGCAGAATCTTCCTTAACCGGTAGAATCTTCTGCAGATCATATTCTCAGAACAATAAAACGCCACCACCGATTCCGGCAGAATCTTCTTAAACCGGCAGAATCTTCTTAAACCGGTAGAATCTTCTGCAGATTATATTCTCAGAACAATAAAACGCCACCACCGATTCCGGCAGAATCTTCCTAAACCGGTAGAATCTTCTGCAGGATATATTCTCAGAACAATAAAACGCCACCACCGATTCCGGCAGAATCTTCCTTAACCGGTAGAATCTTCTGCAGATCATATTCTCAGAACAATAAAACGCCACCACCGATTCCGGCAGAATCTTCTTAAACCGGCAGAATCTTCTTAAACCGGTAGAATCTTCTGCAGATTATATTCTCAGAACAATAAAACGCCACCACCGATTCCGGCAGAATCTTCCTAAACCGGTATCCGTTGCTGTAAGAGCCCCGCTCACTCGCGCACCGATTGGTTCAACGTCCCCACGTGACGCGTCATCGGCCAATCAGCGGGCGCGTTGCGCGTTGCTATGATGGTGGCAATGGCAGCTTCACGTTGCTGCCGCTGTTGTTGGGGGCGATAACGAAACGTCGCAATGGCGGGGAGAGTGAAGTGGGCCACGGATGTGGAGAAGTCGGTGTTGGTGAACAACTTCGAGAAGCGCGGCTGGGTCCAGGTGGCTCCTGACGAGGCGTGGAACGTTTACTGGTGCGGACCCGCCTATACTTATCCGCGCTGCGATATCTAATCACTCCATCACTATCTATAGTACGATAACAAATGGCAACTCTTATCTATAATATGGATATTTAAACATCAGCGCTGCTTTCCTGTACAGTTAATGGAACTACCAGCAGTACTACAATTTTTACTTACAGCATCGCTATCAATTAAATGTGAAATTACTGCATCACCAGTTCCTATTATAACTAATTGATATTCAACGACTGCATTACTATCTATAGTATGATATTCAATGACTGCATTACTATCTATAGCATGATATTCAGTGACTGCATTACTATCTATAGTATGATATTCAATGACTGCGTTACTATCGATAGTATGATATTCAGTGACTGCATTACTATCTATAGTATGATATTCAGTGACTGCATTACTATCTATAGCATGATATTCAGTGACTGCATTACTATCTATAGTATGATATTCAGTGACTGCATTACTATCTATAGTATGATATTCAATGACTGCATTACTATCTATAGTATGATATTCAATGACTGCGTTACTATCGATAGTATGATATTCAGTGACTGCATTACTATCTATAGTATGATATTAAATTGCCGCATCAATGCAGTACTATCAATAACTGCATTGCCTTAATATCTACAGTTATACGATTTAAATAGCTTTCTTTATTATTACTAATTGTTTTTATTACGTCGATAATTCTACATTTTTATTATATCAAATAACAACATGCCCATCAGTATACTAGAATATTTGGTTACTGCCTTACAGGCGACGATATAATATTAATTACCAGCGTTATGATTAATACTGTACAGTGTTTAAACTTAATTTGGAGCTTTCGTGACTGCAGGAATTACTCTTTGGTTATTTCGGTAAAGTCACGTATAAAGATAAAATAATAAATTAAATACTATTTAATTTATTATTTTATCTTTATTCGTGACTTTACCGAAAGAACCAAAGAGTACTGTACTGTGACATTCAATCTTAAGAGTTAAGATTTTTGGTTAACATTAAATTGTAGCATTTTGATTAATTTTATTATATATTCCATGATATAATTTTATTATAATACTAAATTTCATTAATATCGGTGCAGATGATGTGTAACCGTATTGGTTATCCATGAGTATGAGTATGCGATAGACCCACAGAGACCCATAGACCCACACAGAGACCCATAGACTCACACGGAGACCCATAGACCCACATAGAGATCCATAGACCCACACAGAGACCCATAGACTCACACGTAGACCCATAGACCCACATAGAGATCCATAGACCCACACAGAGACCCATAGACTCACACAGAGACCCATAGACTCACACGGAGACCCATAGACTCACACAGAGACCCATAGACTCACAGAGACCCATAGACTCACACAGAGACCCATAGACTCACAGAGACCCATAGACTCACACAGAGACCCATAGACTCACACAGAAACCCATAGACTCACACAGAGACCCATAGACCCACATAGCGATCCATAGACTCACACAGAGACCCACAGACTCACACAGAGACCCATAGACTCACAGAGGCCCATAGACTCACACAGAGACCCACAGACTCACACAGAGACCCATAGACTCACACAGAGACCCATAGACTCACACAGAGACCCATAGACCCCCAGAGACCCATAGACTCACACAGAGACCCATAGACTCACACAGAGACCCATAGACTCACACAGAGACCCATAGACCCACACAGAGACCCATAGACTCACACAGAGACCCATAGACTCACACAGAGACCCACAGACTCACACAGAGACCCATAGACTCACACAGAGACCCATAGACTCACACAGAGACCCATAGACCCCCAGAGACCCATAGACTCACACAGAGACCCATAGACTCACACAAAGACCCATAGACTCACACAGAGACCCATAGACCCACACAGAGACCCATAGACTCACACAGAGACCCATAGACTCACACAGAGACCCATAGACCCCCAGAGACCCATAGACTCACACAGAGACCCATAGACTCACACAAAGACCCATAGACTCACACAGAGACCCATAGACCCACACAGAGACCCATAGACTCACAAAGAGACCCGTAGACTCACACGGAGACCCATAGACCCACATAGAGTTCCATAGACTCACAGAGACCCATAGACTCACACAGAGGCCCATAGACTCACACAGAGACCCATAGACCCCCAGAGACCCATAGACTCACACAGAGACCCATAGACTCACACAGAGACCCATATACTCACACAGAGACACACAAACCCACACAGAGACCCATAGACTCACACAGAGACCCATATACCCACACAGAGACCCATAGACTCACACAGAGACCCATAGACTCACACAGAGACCCATAGACTCACAGAGACCCATAGACTCACACAGAGACCCATAGACCCACACAGAGACCCATAGACTCACAGAGACCCATAGACTCACACAGAGACCCATAGACTCACAGAGACCCATAGACTCACACAGAGACCCATAGACCCACACAGAGACCCATAGACTCACAGAGACCCATCGACTCACATAGAGATCCATAGTTTGTTGTCCTGCCCCCCCCCGCACCTCCGATTAGCACGGTTGGCTACGTACGGTGCGAAAGAAGTTCAGCACACAGTAAATCATCTCAAGCCTCCCATAAACCACGTTGCCTCAGTGTGGCGACCCCCACTCTGAACCCCTTTCACCGCCCCCTGTTAATTTATTTATACTGCAGGAGGAATCCACAGATGTGTTGGAGAGTAAATCCACAACATCTCCATTATGTAAGATCACGATGGTGATGATTGCGTCTTGCTCCATTATGCACACCTCGCTCTCTCTTCGTTACGCAGGGCGAGCGTGCAAAGCACGCGCGGAATCTTCAGCCTGGAGACGGGATTCCGCCTGGCCGACGACCAGCTGGTCAACCACTACCCCAACCACTACGAGCTCACGCGCAAGGACCTCATGGTGAAGAACATCAAGCGCTACCGCCGGGACCTGGAGCGCGACGGCAGCGTTGTCGCCGAGCGCGACGACACGGGCCGATACCTGCACCTCGGTACGGGCGGTGTGTGTACACGTGTGTGTGTGTACACGTGTGTGTGTGTACACGTGTGTGTGTGTACACGTGTGTGTGTGTACACGTGTGTGTGTGTACACGTGCGTGTGTGTGGGGAGCGGTGGTGTAGTGGTTAGCGCTACGCTGCGCTATCAATCTGGCGACCCGGGTTCGGTACCCGCTCACGGCACAACACCAGTGACGATTATTTGAACCGGTCCTGGGCCTCCCCTAGGTCGACTCGGCCTCAAATGAGTACCTGGCGCGGTGTGTAAACATCGCCACTGGGGAGACAAAGGCGGCCGGGCGTGGTGCTGGCCACCCACCCCCTCGTGTGCCGTGCTGGCCTTCATAGGTGCTCGCTAACAGCACTTACCCCAACAGTCGGTGCAGACTATACGGGGGATCTTTGTCTTTTTCTCTGTATGTGGGGAGCGGTAGTGTAGCAGTACGAATTAACCCGTGGCGTAGAGTCGTGTGTTGCCTCTCAGGGACTTGAATCAGCAGGAAACCGGACAAATTTATCACAATTTGGAGACGCAAATCAGAGCCAAAAGGACCGTTTGCAAATGTGCCAAACGGCGCATGCCCTGACCAGCAGCGACCCGTGGGATTCCACACCGCCAATTTAATTCTTCTGAAGATGAACCCACATTAGAAAGCTTTGCCTAATCCATGCGCGTGCATGATTTTTTTCTATTTCGTTATGAGATAAATTCTTCCCACTTTATACTTTGATGCGCTTTATCGTATAAAGTTGTGTTCAGCGGACACACACCTTTAAACCGCGAATTATTTGGTGATGCTGCTGCAGTGGCAATCGTGCACAAGGACATATAACAAAGTAAAACTCAACACATTCATCATCGACACTGTGACCTTAAACTAAATCATATTTAACAGCTCACCTTTCGTTCAGTGGCACTTCTTTATAGCACTTAAAATCTCAAATCTCTTCCACTTTATAAGGTTGCATTCATTACACACACAAAGCGCTTGCCACGTAAACTCCGGTTAGCCTTGTAGCAGCGACTTTTGGCTCAGCCATTGAACAAAGACGGTTACCGCATCGCGCGCTTTCAGATGCCGCTTCCGCGGCCGTCTGGAACGCTCTTCGGATATCAGGAAGCCACTGGGAACTTATGCACTTTCCAATCTAGATTGGAAACTAATTTCTTCAGAACTGCATGTTGTTGTGTTTAGTTTGGTGTCCTTCCCACGCACCTACGTACCGTGCGAAAAAACGTCAACATATGTACGTACATACAAGAGTTACCGTACCCCCCCGCCGCCCCAACACCACCGCCCCCTCTCATCCACCCCCCCAACCCCCCTAAACTCATCCCCATAGCGTCGTTGTGGAATGTAACGTTGCCGAGTGCTTTGCAGATTTTGTTCCGGTGACGTTCCTGCTGCCGGCCGACTACAACCTGTTTGTGGAGGAGTTCCGCAAGAACCCGTCCAGCACGTGGATCATGAAGCCGTGCGGCAAGGCGCAGGGCAAGGGCATCTTCCTCATCAACAAGCTGTCGCAGATCAAGAAGTGGTCACGCGACTGCAAGACCAACTCGTGAGCGCCGAACTCTGTCACGTACTCAGTAGAGATTCTTTCCCCTCTGGGTGTCTCTGTAGAGACTCTCTCCCCTCTGAGTGTCTCAGTAGAGATTCTTTCCCCTCTGGGTGTCTCAGTGGAGACTCTCTCCCCTCTGAGTGTCTCAGTAGAGATTCTTTCCCCTCTGGGTGTCTCTGTAGAGACTCTCTCCCCTCTGAGTGTCTCAGTAGAGATTCTTTCCCCTCTGGGTGTCTCAGTGGAGACTCTCTCCCCTCTGAGTGTCTCAGTAGAGATTCTTTCCCCTCTGGGTGTCTCTGTAGAGACTCTCTCCCCTCTGGGTGTCTGAGTAGAGCAGGGGCTGGGAATGTCCGGTCCGCGGGCCGTATAAGGCCCGCGAAATCATTTAACAGTTCCAGCCATCACATTAGGGGTGAGTTAATTAAATGTTTGACCAAATATAACAGGCTAATCTTAAAGTTGATCATTTTGTATGGCCCGCGAATTATGTTATAAATGCCCAAATGGCCCTTGGCAGAGAAAAGGTTCCCCCCACCCCTGCCTGAGTAGAGACACTGTCCTCACTACGTTCAGTAGGCACACACAGTCAGGGACACACGCTGTTGGGATGCTTCTGGGATACTAACCGGCCAGGTGGCTCGGCGCTAGAGCGAGCGGCTCGCAGTCGTCAGGTCGCGAGTTAAAATCCTGGTTGGGTGGGGGTTAACTCAGCCCATCATCCCTACGGGTCGATACAATTACTACCACTTTGTTGGGAATTCAACAGCAGTTGTGCTATAGAGAGACTTGCCCCAACCCTAGGAATGTAGAATTCCCATCGCTGGCTCTGCAGGGCTGTAAACGCTACACGGCCACAAATGCCTTCATGCTCATTTGAGTAGGAAATGACTTTTACTCGTTAAACTAAACTATTTTTATTTTACCAGGTAAGGCCCACTGAGCTACGTAGCTCTTTTTCAGAAGCAACCTTGCCACAAGTGATAGTTCAATGACACGGCTTATCACGTGGAAATTCCTAGCAGTAGCCAAATACTATAAACGCACGTTGTTTCTAAATGCAGAGGGAAAAACCACGACCACGGGGAGAGCGAGAGACAGCCAAACTCCAAATATACAGCAGCAGGCGTCAGGGTCGGGATTGAACCCACGACCTCCTGTTTACCAGGCGAGGTAGTTAACATCTCCTAGCCACCGTGGTGATGATGATGAGAGAGACGTAAACTCCAAATATACAGCAGCAGGCGTCAGGGTCGGGATCGAACCCACGACCTCCTGCGTACCAGGCGAGGGAGTTAACATCTCCTAGCCACCATGGTGATGATGAGAGAGAGACGCAAACTCCAAATATACAGCAGGCGTCAAGAGTCGGGATCGAACCCACGACCTCCTGTTTACGAGGCGAGGTAGTTAACATCCCCTAGCCACTGTGGTGATGATGATGAGAGAGAGACACAAACTCCAAATATACAGCAGCAGGCATCGTCAGGGTCGGGATCGAACCCATGCCCTCCCGTACATCAGGCGAGGGAGTTAACATCTCCTAGCCACCGTGATGATGATGAGAGACGCAGACTCCAAATATACAGCAGCAGGCGTCAGGGTTGGGATCGAACCCACGACCTCCTGTATACCAGGCGAGGTAGTTAACATCTCCTAGCCACCGTGATGATGATGAGAGAGAGAGAGACATGCAAACTCTAAATATACAGCAGCAGACATCAGGGTCGGGATCGAACCCACGACCTCCTGTAGACCAGGCGAGGTAGTTAACATCTCCTAGCCACCGTGGTGATGATGATGAGAGAGAGACGCAAACTCCAAATACACAGCAGCAGGCGTCGTCAGGGTCTGGATCGAACCCACGCCCTCCCGTGTGCCAAGCGAAGGTAGTTAACATCTCGCCACCACAGTGGTGATTGCCGTGCATCCAGCTGCCGACTCAATGTTGCCGGCTCAGATCAAAGAAATAAAATTGTAAACGATAATCGCGCGTAAGGTTTTTTTTTCCGCGGTCGTGCTGCGTGGCGCCCCGCTGTGGTTAAACCAGGTTGCGGCCACCCCAGTGTTGTTTTCGCCCCGATGTCCAACGTTTCGCTGCACGCGCCGTGCTCTGTGTGCGCGTTCGCCAGGTTCGTGGCTCCGTCGGCGAAGGAGGCGTACGTCATCTCCCTGTACATCGACAACCCACTCCTCATCGGGGAGAAGAAGTTTGACCTGAGGCTCTATGTGCTCGTCACCTCCTACCGCCCGCTCAAGTGCTACATGTACGTCCAACACGACGGCTCTTAATCATAATAATAATTATATGCGATGATAATAATAATGAACTCGGTTTTCTATGGCGCAATTCGCACGGGGTGTATGCTTGTATGTTGTTGAATCTTTCTCGCACCGTACGTAGTCAACCGTGCTAATCGGAGGTGCGTTGGAAGGACAACAACTAAACGCAAAAAAGGAGTTTTCAATCGAGGTTATTTAAAAGTGCATAGCTCCAAAGACGTTCACCGCATCGCTCGCTTTCAGATGGGCTTGTGTGGCCGTCTGGAGCGCTCTTCCTTCTGATATTAGGAAGCCACTGGAGCTATGCACTTTCAAATCTAAGTCGAAAGCTCATTTCTTTAGAACTGCTCTTGTGTGTTTAGATTGTTGTCCTGCCCCCACGCCTCCGATTGGCACGCTTGGCTACGTACGGCGCGAAAGGCGTTCAACGTACATGCGTTTAGATTATTCGCATGCTATAAATTTCCACGTGGTAAGCCGCTACGTTGAGCGGTCATTTGTGGCCAGGTCGCTTCTGAAAAAGAAGCTAACAGCTCCGTAGGCATTACCTGGTCAAATAAAATTGTTTAGTCTCATGGATTTTTCGAAGTGATTTGCTTACCTTTCCTATACTTTGCACTCATTTCGTGTTTTCGTATTGCTTGTTGTTGTAGCGTTTTGAACTCGTGCCCCTACTGGACATCTGTGAAAAAGAGCTTCATAGCTCATCGGATTCCTGCCTGCAGTATGAATACAACATTCTGATTCCGATGCATACAAAGGCGACATAGGCAGACCTTCGTCTTTGATGGCTCCGTGCGCCCATTCCGCTGTGCAGGTGTAATATGAGGATATATCCGGCTCACTGACGTATCACAACTTGTCATGGTGATTGGCTCTGCCGGTCCTGGTTTACAGCCAATGGGGGGAAGCCTGGGGGGCATGGCCCTGACGTGATGGAAAGGTGACAGCTATGAGGATTGGTTCTGCTGGCTTTGGCCACAGCCAATGGGGAGATGGGTCAGGGGCGTGGTCCCGGGAGCTGACGAGGGAGTCTGGAAGATTCGATGCAGGCTAACGAGGATTGGCGGAAACGTACCACGTGACCCGGGTATTAAATAGGGGTGGAGACGAACGACACGTGGTCAGAACGGGAACGAACAGAGGAAGGGGGCCACGCGGGAGGGGGGCTCCGAGTTGCCACGTGGCAGTGCGTCTCTCTATCTGTCCCTCTCACGCTGCCTATCAGCAGCGTGAAGTAACTGTAACATAAGTTGAATAAAGAACGGATTCCAGAAGTCGTCTCAACGAGCTTTATTACACAGGTACCGGCTCGGCTTCTGCCGATTCTGCACGGTCAAGTACTCCCCCAGCACCAACGAGCTGGACAACATGTTCGTCCACCTCACCAACGTGTCCATCCAGAAGCACGGGGTGGGTGAGCCGCTCCACCGAGTCATGCCACCGCCACCGACTGCCGCCGCCGCCGCCGTACAAATCTCACCGTGCTTGCCGTCGTGGTCCTGGTGGTGGTGGGGGATTGTGGTTTATTACGTGTGTGTGTGTGTATGTTGAACTTCTTTCACACCGTATGTAGCCAACTGTGCTGGTCGGAGGAGGTGGCCACTTTAATCTCTCCACCATCTTTCTACCCACCTCTCTCTCCATCTGTCTCCATCCGTCTGGGGCTCTCTTCTCCATCTCACGATCCATCTCTCCATCTTTAGTCTCCGTCATTTCCACCTGTCTCTTCAACTCTCTATCATCATATTCTTTTTTTTTTCCTGCCCACTGCATCACTTTATAGATTCTATCCATGATTTCATCAACCCAGCCGCTGGCTATTGACTGAATCTGCTGATGTCATGCCGCACGTTACAGGCGTAAGGTCCAGCGAGGTTGAGAAGTGAAATACAGACCTCTGCTTGTCCTTCCCCCTGCACCTCCGATTAGCACGGTTGGCTACGTACTGGTGCGATAGAAGTTCAACGTACATACGTACTTACAAGGCCGACGCTTTCTCCCTCAAATCACAGGACGACTACAACGTGATCCACGGGGGCAAGTGGACCGTGAGCAACCTGCGCTTGTTCCTGGAGAGCACGCGGGGTCGCGAGGTCACCAACAAGCTCTTTGACGACATGCACTGGATCGTGCTGCACTCGCTCCGCGCCGTCGCGGTGAGTGACCGACTGCCTGCACCGATTGCTGGCCCTCCATCCCCTCCGTCTCTCTCTCTCTCACACATGCCATCGTCCTCCCATCACACGAACTCCTATCCACCTCTCTCTCCACCTATTTCTATTTTTCTCTCTCTGTTTCCATCTCTCCATCTCGGTTAACGACTTACACCGATTATGGGGGACAAAGTGCTTGCCGCAAATGAACCACAAATACCTCGGTGATCTCCCGTCAAGGAACATAAACCATCACGCAAACTCCGGCAGCGGCTTTTGACTGGCCATCGAACAAAAACGGTCGACGCATCACGCGCTTTAACATGCGCTTCTGCGGCCGTCTGGAACGCTCTCACTTCCGATATTAGGAACTGAAGCTATGCACTTTTAAATCATCTTGATTTAAAACTCATTGCTTGAGAACTGTTTCTTGTGTTTGGTTTGTTGTCCTTCCCCCACACCTCTGATTAGCACGCTTCGCAACGTACAGTGCGAAAGAAGTTCTACATACATACACACATCTCTGTCTCTCTGCCATGCCATATATCCTTCAACTATTGTTTTGCTGTTATGTTTTGCACCCGTGCCCATGCTTGGGAATTTGTGTACTTATGCAATTTGAACTGATATGCATAATCAATTTTACATATTTATTTTTAGTGATTTCCTTTCCTATACTTTTCACTCCTATCGTCTACATGCAAACCTCTGCTCTGTGGGCCACCATTTGAAGAACACTCACGCGAGATTACTTTGCACCTCCGATGGGCACGGTTGCCTACGTACGGCGCGAAAGAAGTTCAAAGTTCAGTTCAGTTGAGCTTGTAAAACGGTCTCAATTCTCACCGTCTGCAGGGAGTTATGGCAAATGACAAGCACTGCTTCGAGTGCTACGGCTACGACATCATCATCGATGACAAACTCAAGCCCTGGCTCATCGAGGTACAGTTCAGCTCGCGCCTACGAGCCAAAAAAGGGCGCCCTGCTGCATGAAGTTTGTGCATTTCTCCTCGTGATGTGCATGGGTTTTCCCGCGTAGCCACGAAAACACCAAATCATACAACGTAACCGGTTTTGGCCGAAAAAAAATGTCCCAACGCTAAAAGATTAGCTGAACATTACTCAATTGGTACTACACACAGCAGCAGCAACAGCATCGCCACCTCTACTGCGAAAATACTTGGCAGGACCCTCGTGAAAGAGAGCCATGAGATTCGGTGAGGCCTTGCTGGGTAAAACAAGCGAAGTTACTAATACTGTCGGTTGTATGGTTTAACGTGTGAGATTTGTCCCGATAAATGATAAGAGTGCACAAGTTTGGGCTATTGAAACAATGTGTTGTTTAGCTGCGTAGAATGGAGGTCTTTATATTAATCTAAAAGCAGTGGGTCACCGAGTCAGGAGTGTGATAAAGATGCAGGAAGGCAATGAGAAACACGCGTTTAGATTATTTAGAGTATTTCCCGCATCTCCGATTAGCACAGTTGGCTATGTACGCTGTGAAAGAAGATCAACATACATTACATTTCCACGCGATAAGCCACTTCGTTGAACTATCATTCGTGGCCAGGTAACTTCAGAAAAATAAATTAATAACTCAGTGTGCCTTACCTGGTCAAATAAAATAGTTGTTTTTTTAGCGATTCGCTTACCTTTCCTATACTTTGCACCCCAATCGTGTTTTTGTATTTGTCGGTGAAAACCCCACGTCGCTCGCCTCGCGGTCCTACGCCCCAGGTGAACGCATCTCCCTCGCTCTCCTCCACCACGGCCAACGACCGCATCATGAAGTACAACCTCATCAACGACACGCTCAACATCGTCATGCCGGGCGCAGACATGCCCGACCCGCGCTGGAACAAGGTGCCGGCTCGAGAGGCCCTCGGAAACTACGACCTCCTGTGAGTTCGGGGAAACGGCTCGCGGTGGCGCGCGTTTATGAAACTCGATCGATTGAAATGTGGGATTACGCATAGCGATCATCGCCCCCCCTACTGGAAGGCCGATGCCCGCTCGCGGGCCAGGTTCTGGATCACATTGTGCCGCACAGGGACGGCTGCCACTGGGAGTGCCCTGGGATAGACCACGCAGAAATCATCGCCCCCTCCGGGAAGATTGATATCCGCTCGCAGGCTAGGTGCTTGGTCACATTGTGCCGCACAGGGACAGCTGCCACCGTGGGTGCCCTTTCGAATGCGTTGAGAGATGTCGCGTGGTGTCAAGCGCTCTTGGTATGTAGGGCGCTTTATCCAAACAAATCGTTATCACCATTATGATTATTTTTTAGTTGCTGAAGTGATGTGCTAATGGCTTTGTGAAGCGTCATGGTGTGCGTGCGTGCGTTCACGAATCGTGCCGTTGTTTTAAGACTCACGCTTGCTGTGCACAAGCCGAGAACGGCAAGCGACCAGCAACAAACAGCACTGTCGATGGTAAAACAAAAAAGCTGACATTTATTGAATTTTAAGCAATTTTATACGAACTTGAGAGAAACATGACCATGGCGAGGAAAGAAGCAGAAAGAGAAGTGTCGTGACTTACAGTGGGTCAGATTGGGTAGGTGAGTGGCTGAGTGAGTGGATGAGTGTGTCAGAGGGTGGGTGGGTGATTGACTGGGTATGTTGTGGGTAATCAGGAGTGTCGCGGTTAGCGCACTGTGCTTCGAACCCGGCGACCCAAGTTGGATTTCTGCTCACAGCCAATCCCAGTGACGATTATTTTAACCAGTTCTGGGCCTCCCCTAGGTCGACTCAGCCTTAGATGAGTACCTGGTGCGGTGTTTAAACATCACCACTAGGGAGACAAAGGCGGCCGGGCGTGGTGCTGGCCACCCACCCCGTCGTGTGCCATGGTCGCGAACAGAACTTGCCCCAACAGTCTGTTATAAATTTCGATTTAAAGCTTTCGTGACTGCAGGGATTCATCTTCTTGGTTCTTTCGGTAAAGTCACGTAGAAGGAAAATAATAAAATAAAACATAATAAAATTAAATATTATGTTTTATTTTTATTCTTTTCCTTCTACGTGACTTTACTGAAAGAACCAAGAAGATGAGTCTGTTATAAGGCGACACGGGGGAGGTCTTTGTATTGTTGTGACCTGCCGTGTGGTGGTTGAACATTGTGGATGAGAGGATACGATGACCGACGTCCACAGGAACCGTTTGTCGTTAGCGATAATTAGCCTCCACGATCGGAAGCCTTTGCTAACTTCACCTGCACTCACATCTCCTCCTCCTCGTCCTCCCGGCAGCTACGACGAGGAGTTGGCCGCGCAGAGCGAGGCGGCGACGACGTTGGAACGCGACCCCAGGGGCCGCACGGGATCGCACGTCTTGGCCAAGGCCCCCGCACGACTGCGAGACTCGGGGAGGCCCCTGCCGACCACGTGGAAGTGAGGACACCCTCACGCAAACGTGGATGCAGTGGCGGCTCCAAGTTCGGGAACAGAGCTGGTGGGAACGGAGCTGGTGGGACAGCTCCGCGAATTAAAAAAGACCTAATCGGTACCCGCCTGATCGTTATCAAAAATTTAAACCGTATTCTCACTCAACTCCCATTTATCCATTGGGTGTCACTGTGGAGCACCAAGCCTCGCACATTGGCGAGAGCCCGGGACAAGCCATCGCGTCAAATAGATTGACAATTGTCATAGCACTTAGCATATGTTATAAAGGGGCCCTAAATAAAAAACACATTGTTTACTTGCACATTAAATTGTATTTTTAATTTGCTATACAGCCAAATAATACAACAAATCGCTAAGCTTAAACGCCCAGTCGTTCATCAAAGTTGAAGGCGGTATAGTACTATAGTAATAGAGGAAGTGCAGAATCACCGAGCTGGAATTGATAGCTTGAAAGCATTTAGTGCAGGGGCCCTTAGCTACATTTGTAGCTGATTGTGCGGCTGGGATAATCCGGTGGTTGCGGTTGTTGCCGTGTAGTTCTCCGCCATTTTGTGGATCGTGCCACGCCTGTTTGGCACGATGCCCGACGTTTCGCTGCACGTGTTGGCAGCTTCTGCAGGAACTTTATTCCTTCACCTCCATGCGTATCGAGCGCTAAAATGTGTCGCCTACTTTGTATGTGGTCCAGTACTCGGGGCATCATTTTAAAATGGCCAATGCCACGTTCTGCCAATGGTGGCTGATGTGACAATGCAGCCGCAAATCTCTCATCCAGCGGCACAAGTGGGGGAAGAAATGATCTCGCCCTGTAGTTTTTCCCACGTTACACTCAAGTCATGTATCCCATAATGGGTAATCAATAATTTAAATCACCCATTCGCCAGGGTTTATGACCGAGCGTTACCCGGCAAGCACGTGACCGTGCAGGAAGGTGACAAACCTGGTCATTTTGAAGATTTGGTGGACAGCCCTTGTAGTCAATCCTTCGCATAAGCTCAAGGTTCGCTACGTAAATTATTTAACGTTTTTACCAATCGCGTGCAACGTTTTCATTTTTGCTGTTCTCAGGATGTTATCAGTCTAAAATGCAATAAGACTCACCAGTGTATTAACTGATTTTTTTGTCCTTACTTCGGACCCCCTGATGAGCGTGGTTGGCTAGGTACACTGCGAAAGAAGTCCAACATACATAGATGGAATCTTTAGACAAGACAGGCTTGGCCTTCTCAGCAAGATCTGTGGGTTTGACCAGGAATGTTGTCTGGAGATCTGGTGGGCATGGTGTCGTTACTGCTGTTCTGACAAAGAACCTTGGCTGCTGGATTGAGAAATCAGGGCTTGTGGTCTGCCATATAAAAGGTGGCAACCCAAAGTATACGATTCCATTCTAGATTTTAAGTTTTCCCGACTGCAAGGATCCATACTCTTTGGTTTTTTCGGTAAAGTCACGTAGGTTAAAAACGAAAGCAAATAAATTAAATCACGTTTCGGAGGCAACACAAGTGATACGGTAATTTTGCCGTGACGGTTCCACCTGAAGACGGAAGCTTGTGTTGCCTCCGAAAATCGTGATTTAATTTATCTTTTATAACCCACGTGACTTTACCGAAAAAACTAAAGAGTATACGATTCCAGGCTGCACGAGCACCACAAAGTCCAGAGGAGGTTGGCTGATCATTGTGTGCTGCCACGGCAATGTTGTGGTGGCAGCAGCTTGCCACAAGCAAACGGTCACCACTAAGTGGCCACGCATTCTGCGACCAACTCTCAAAGGAGGGGGCGGTGTGAGTGTCCGGCTGTGTGTGCCTTGGAGGTCCAACTTCAGTTGGAGGTTTGCTCAGAATAAACCGCCGGAGGACTGCCAATTTAGAGATTTGCGGTGTCGGGCCAACGTTTGTGGCGTGCGCCATCTCAGAGCTTGCGGTGGAAATTCCACATTATGGTGGTAGGGGACGCAAGGTCACGTGAAAAACCTGGGTAAAAATAAAAAGCTATGCGGTCAAATTACACACCCAGTGTGTGAAAGTTAATGTTAAAATATATTAAAACGAGCGATTAGCATATTCTTTGGGTCTTTCGGTAAAGTGACAGACAGAAAAAATAATAAAATAAACTAAAGTGAATGAAAAATATACAAAATTATTTTCACTTTTAATTATTTTATTGCTATTATTTTCTGCCCACGTGACTTTACCGAAAGACCCAAAGAACATGAAGTCTTGCAGTCACGGAAGCTTCAAGCCAAGAAGCGATTGGCGTTTAAAATAGGAAAGAGAGACGCAGGGCTTCACAAGGGAATCATTTATTAACGCGACGTGCTGTGAAGAGCGTGCGCCGGACCAATCACTGTGGCGGTCCTCCTGGTCCACCTGGTCCACCTGGTCCTCCTCTCCCCCTGCCGAAGCCTCCTCTCTGCAAAGCAAAACAGACAAGACACACCGCGCGTTAGTCTCTGTAACAAAACACAACCTGCTGACAAGACCCAGGTGTGGTCAAAACCAGTCCATAGTGTGCTTTTTTTTATTAAACAGATGCTGCTAGAATATCATTACCGAACGATCCAAAGAGTATGGATCCTTGCAGTCACGAAAACTTCAAATCTAGAATTAGAATCTCATTGGTTTTGGAAAAACCAATAAGGCCAATGGGACTAAAATAGATTTTTTTACGCAACATTGGGAGACAAATTTCGATTTAAAGCTTTCGTGACTGCAGGGATTCATCTTCTTGGTTCTTTCAGTAAAGTCACGTAGAATGGAAATAATAAAATAATAAATATAAAACATAATAAAATAATTCTGACGTTTCGGCCACAACGCAAGCAGCCGTCCTCAGGTGGAGAACTATTTAATATTTTATTTTTATTATTTCCATTCTACGTGACTTTACCGAAAGAACCAAGAGGATTAGGAGACAAATCGGAGGTCTGCTTATATTTGTTTTTAGGGTCCTTAATGTAGGCAAGCTCAAGACTTATCCAAGGCGAGGGGGTCTTGTGTGGGGATGTCCGAGCAGTTCAACAGAAGATGCAATCCAAACATCTCTTAACACACAACCAGCATGTGCGACCCACGCTACTCCAGTACCAGTTGAAAGCTCTAATCAAGATAAAATGGGGATGGAATGATGGTGGCGTAATGGGCAGACTTTTCATACACAAAGGCTCAATGCGTATAAACATCCAACAGCTCACGAGCATTGGACTATGAATCCAGTGACCCAAGTTTGATTCCCAGCCATGGCTAACATCAGTGGCGAGTGATACGCAAACCGGTCCTGGAAGTAAATTTTGTCTGCAACTCGGTGAATGAAATAGACTAAAAATTGCGATTGAGTATTCGTTTTGTCACCGATTACTGGAGACCCTTACAAGCCGTGCCATGCATGGCACGGCAGCGGCTGCTGCTACCAATAAACGCCAGAGCCCTGTCGCTTGTCACCACTCGTCCAGTGGTGTACATGACAACAGGCTTTGCCCCCCTCGGAGGTACGATTTTCTTATCCGATTTGGAGTGTAACTATTTACGAAATAATCACAAAATAATGCATTCGTCCCACTGTCTCCACAATGCTTCAGTCAAACAGCTTTCTGGAAGTGCATCTCATCAGCAAGCATTGGTTCAATACAATAAAAGTCTGGGGCCGATTTTAAAAATTCAATGTATTGTCAGCAGCCAGGTTTGTTTGAACCAATGTTAAACTGCCCGATGATTATACGCAAGAGCCCCTTTTTGTAAGAAAACCCTAAATCAGCTCTAATCTGTCATGATCGCTCTGTGGAGGCCAGGCGTATATTATCAAGAGAACAGAAGCGGTACTCACGAACTGGAAGTCCGAATTGGCGCCAGCCCCAGCTTCAGCCTTCTTGTCAGCACCAGCTGTGTACACACGAGAGAGGAGGGGGGGGATGCAGGTGGATACACGGTTAACATGTGCGATTGAACAAATACAGAGTTCTAACCCAGCTATCGCCACACTACGCAGCCGCTAAGCAAACGCCACCGACCCCACCCAGTCACTCGCCAACATCACAAATTTGGATATCGCTCCAAAGCGCTAACAAAACAGATGGGCCACTGGCAGCAGTGTTGGGCAATCAGGTTGCCTGTCCTGGTTTGCTCCGTTTGATTTGATGTGCCAGAGGGTTATTATCTATCTGTTGAGTGCCACTTGCTTGTGGAGATATAGCAAACACCCCCACCCCCCCCCCATTGGTAAAAATTAGCCCCGTGTTTACAAGGGAAGCCCCTGTTTGTTTTAGTTAGCACAGTGGGACATTGTCCACGTCACCTTTGTTTACCCAGCAGACAATTATTTCAGGCCCATTCAACATGGTTGGCTATGTACGGGCGTCCTCTGGTCTAACACCTTTTGAGACTAGGCTCCAAAGAAAGCTGTCTCTGGTGTGGACCAATCAGTTTCAAAGACGATGCATATATTATCAGAGTATGTTTTTGTTTGCATTCTGACCACAAGTATTGTGGTGAATGCAGACATGATTGCTTGTAAAAGGTTTCAGTTTGGTGTTTTAACATCTTAACACAGCTGTTTTTTTGCCAGAACAAAGGGGGAAAACCTATTCTCAAGTCCAACATACATATTCTATTCTATTTTGGATGTATAAAGCGCCTTACACCAAGGCACTTAACAATGCTTGCTCTGACTACAGTAAAAAAAGGCAAGGGCTGGGGATCCGGTAGTGACGGGTGGAGGGAGCAGGGTGGAGGCATTAAGGGTGTTAGCTGGTGCTGGTAGGGGTAGCGGAAGAGGAAGGGAAAAAATAAACCCGTAAAAACAAAGTTTTTCACTATAAAGCCTTTATATGCGTGGCGGCTAGAGTCCTCTCGTCCTCTGGCTTGAGATGGCTGCCACCTATGGGTCAGATGATTGCCTGCCACCATTAAGCAATTGGTAATTAAATATAATTTATTTTTTCCTAAAAAGTGTAAAATTTAGGAAAAAAATTTTCACGAAAATAAATTGTCACGCACAACGAGTCTGTGTGCAAAATGTCAGCTCGATTGGATCACGGGAAGTGGGTTAAAAAACGACCAACAGATTTGCACGGTCGTAAGCGCGCAAGCAAGCAAGCAAGTGAACTTAATATAAAGGATTTAAAAAGGGGGTTGAGAAGAGAGATAGGACGACCTGAGGGCAGTGCAAAAAGAGGAAAGCGAGGGGACTGGGAGAGTCGCATGTGGAGAGGGAGTTTGATCCAGTGTCATAGCCGTGGCCAGAAATACAACCGAGGATGCCCGGGGTTCAGAGCGGAATGTATTTAACCACTTCGCCGGCGTTCCACCCCACTCCCACATGCACACGTTCCTTAATTATCAGAGATAAATAGGATCCTGCACACTGATGAGGCGGCGTTGAGTGCCGTGGGTGACGGAGCACGATAGTGGTGGCAGTATCTTGGCCGTGTTGCCTTCACTCAGTGCCACCGCATGTCAAGTGACGGTGGGCGCACATTGTAATCACATGGCATTCATAGCCCAGTGCTGAGACATCACGGTGAAGGCAATGGCTGGCTGGCTGCCCCAGAGGGTGACAGCGGGTGGGCGAGTTTGAGATGCTGGTCTGAGCTTTCCTGCCCCGTTTCCTCTGTCAGAAAGCTTTACGCACTGCAATAGCCTCAGTGACGCCGTGAGCGAATTACACGTGTTGAGAAGGTAGTGATGGTGGGCAGCCAACGAGAAGTGTTGAGTGTGGTGAGTTGAGGGTGATATTGAGCGTGTTTAGAGATCGAGTGGCAAGTGTGGTTGAGTGAAAGGTAAGCGAGTGTTAACTGTTACACAGTGGAGTGTGCAGAGCCGTGCGTCTGTTGTACTCACGGGGCCCAGCGCGTCTGTAGGTATCGCGGTCGCCCTCCCCACGGCCCAGACGGGCGGGACGGTCATCTCCCAGGCCTACACAATCACAAGCCACGCGTGACAACCACACAACTTCCATAAAACCACACCCCACCGCCATAGTACACAATCCTATCCCTTGCCGACAACCGCACGTTATGTCTGGTGATACAACTAAACATTAACATGACATCAGCATACCACACCAGTTCACCCCACATAGGATACCACAACCACACGACAATCCCACATCACAAAACCAAGGCGACCTGTGGTTTGGTACTCGCCATGGGACCAGGTATAATTAAGCGGTGTGTAAATTATACGCGGTACCATGTGGTTAAGTACATGCAGTGCGGTTAAGTACGTGTCGTGCGGTGTGATTAAGACGCGGTTTAGTACGTGCGACGGGCCGAGTGCTGTGGTTAAGACGAGACGTTTGGTCGCCGCTCGTGCGGTGTGGTTAAGCTCACGCCGCCAAGCGACGCGTGCTGAACTGTGAACCGTGCTGAACTATAGCGAAGTGCGGTGGACACACGCGGCGCTCCTCCTCCACTCACCCTTGGGCCGTGGTCGCGCCGTCTCCGGCCGGATCTGGCGGCGCAGCGTGGCCGGGACGATCTCGGGCGGCAGGTGCAGGAAGTCGCGCAGGTACTGGATGCCCTCGTTGGTCAGGTACCAGTAGAAGTGGCGCCACGCAAACTGCTCCTTCACGAAGCCGCGCGACTTCAGGGACTGGGGGGTGAAGGCGAGGAGGTGAAAAACAGAGAAAGGTGGAGGGACGAGCGGAGGTCAGAAGTGAACGGTGGTGCACGTTGAGGCAAGGGGAGACCGAAGGAGGGCAAGAGAGAGAACAGGAGGTTAACGTTCATAAACAAGAAGATGAGACAAGAGATGGTGCCAGGAGACAAAAGGGAGGTTTTATGCAAGGTAAGAAGATGTGAAGACACGGGGAGATGGGAGTGAACAGTCGTTTGTTTTTGCTTCTAGAATTCGTAAAAACTAACAGTGTGGGAGCCATGGGCTGGAACGCATCCGACGGTACCGTCTCACTCAAAGATGGAGTACTAGACGGATTGCTGTATCACGGGACGGTGGCAGCTTGGGGGAAGCCTTCAACCAACAGGGGAATGACCATGGCTGATGATGAACGACATGGGATGCTGCACATTGTGATGAGTGCGAGGTGAGCGGTGTGGGGGCGGTATTGTAGCCGTGCCTTCACTCAGTGCCACCGCATGTCAAGTGACGGTGGGCGCACATTGTAATCACATGGCATTCATAGCCCAGTGCTGAGACATCACGGTGAAGGCAAGGGCTGGCTATCCCAGAAGGTGGTTTCGTGTGTGCATGAGGCTGGTATGAGGCTGGTCTGAGGCTGGTCTGGGCCTGGTCTGTGGTGGTGGGTATCATCACCACTTAGCAGTGGATGGCAACTGTTGTTATTGGTGGCAGCCACATAATCTCCACCTCAAAGTGCTGTGTGGTCCTTCACAGTTGCTCGCTAACAGCACCCGTGCCAACCAACGAGCAACATGACCAAGGAAAAACGTGCCCAACCTGATATGCAGAACACAAGTGAAAGGTCACATTTTGTAAAACGTCTGTACGTCATGAAAATGACGCCACGCACAAATAATGCACTTGGGCGGTTAATTGTTCTGGGCGGGAAACGCGACGGGCGGATAGCCGCTGGGGGTGGGGGGGGGCAGCCTTTGCCTCACCTGCATGGCCTTCATGACGTGCAGGTTGGGCACGTTTTTCTCAGGCCAGCTCGGGGTGCTTGGCGAGATGCACGTCCTTCTTGGCCACCATCACTCCCTCCTTGAAGAGGAGCTCGTAGATGGCCACACGGTCCTTCTTGGGCATCAACATTCTGGGGAACCACGTGGATGGGGTGGCAGACGACACAATCAGCGTCACCGCCCCCGGTACCGACGATGGGCCGCGCTTAAAGTGTGTTTGAACAACATCTCCAAGTGGGAAATGAGTCGACCTTTTGCAAATGTGGTTGAATCTAACCTGCTCATCGCATAACTGACCACTGCCCAATCATACGCTTACAAAGGAGGTATCAACATTGCTATCAGTGCGTTGTGTAGTATTAGTTTAGTGTCCAATGTTCGTGGCGTGGCGTTACATAAAAATAAATTTCGTAGACAAAATCCATCAGCCGTGTGGCCTTCTGGCAGTGCATAATTTCGGCAGCTTTATAGTATTACTTTTTTTAATTAATTAATGCAGCATCTAAATGCACAGGAACAGCTTTTACAGCACAGACTGACATTCCAGTAAATATTAAGATTACGTTTCCATAGGTGGAGCAGTGGCGCTGTAGTTAGCGCAGTGAAGAAATTGTTTCGTTCGAAACCCGGTCATAAACCTAGCTTAGCAAACATCAGTGATCGAAGTATGGATAATCAACCCTCCTACGACCTAACACGGCACACGAGAGGGTAAGCCTTTCATCCAGCAGTGGATTGACAAAGTGTCGCAAGTCTCCGTTTAATAAATATTTATCAGCGACTAAAAATAAGTATAACCCGTAAAAACAAAGTTTTTCACTATAAATCCTTTATATGCGTGGCGGCTAGAGTCCTCTCGTCCTCTGGCTTGAGATGGCTGCCACCTATGGGTCAGATGATTGTCTGCAGTATTAAACAATTGGTAATTAAATATTTAATTTGTTTTCCCTAAACAGTGTAAAATTTTGGAAAAAAAATTTTCACGAACATTACTTGTCTCGCACAACGAGTCTGTGTGCAAAATGTCAGCTCGATTGGATCACGGGAAGTGGGTTAAAAAACGACCGAAAGATTTGCACGGTCGCAAGCAAGCAAGCACGCAAGCAAGTGAACTTAATATAAAGGATTTTAAAAAAGACTGGCAACCACGCTCGCCGCTACTCACTCAGTACCGCCAGGATGTCAGGCCTGAGCGGGGCACGTTTCGAATCAGAGGGAACCTCATAGCCCAGTGCTGGTCATCATCGTGAGGGCGAGCGGGAGCCAGAGCATCTGCAACTAACTACCCCAGCCAGTTTAAATTTCGATTTAAAGCTTTCGTGACTGCAGGGATTCATCTTCTTGGTTCTTTCGGTAAAGTCACGTAGAATGGAAATAATAAAATAAAACATAATACAATGATTCTCACGACGTTTCGGCCACAACGCAAGCAGCCGTCCCCTCAGGTGAAGACCAGGTCTGTCGGGGAGACGCTGTGAGACGCTATCTCCCCGACAGACCTGGTCTTCACCTGAGGACGGCTGTTTGCGTTGTGGCCGAAACGTCGTGAGAATTATTTTATCGTTTTATTTTATTATTTCCATTCTACGTGACTTTACCGAAAGAACCAATAAGATGTACCCCATCCAGTGTTTCCATCGCACGCACACCTCTCCATATAAACCACCTCTTGGTGATGATATAAATCGAAGACACACTGTAGCCATCAACCCCGCATGTGACTTGAGATATGGACCCACCAATGTGGGTCACGCACTTGGCTTGCAAATCTCGACTTCAACTTTCGATCGCTCGGCGCGGCAGTTGAAGCAACTGTGCACGTCTCTTAACATTCATCTCGCCTATGTCCCACTCGGCAGTATAAACGGGTGGAAGAGTAGGCCAAAACACTTACGTTCTCATCACGTCCGAGATTGATAGCTTTAAAGCCTCTGTAAACATCGCTGTGAAGTCCACATTCTTATGCCAGGATAGAGGCCACCCATGAAACTAATGCTTAGTTTCCGCCAAACTCATCGCTATGAACTATCGCTTATCCACCGCTGGATGGTATTGCCGATTCACTTCTGCATAGTTTGGCCTATCCACTACTGGATAGTATTGTCTATCCACTGATAAGATGTTATATCCACTGCTGGATGAATCCCTCTTTCTACCCTTAAGTAGCCCGCGAGGCATTGTGCCGAGCCGACTACGAACAAACATGTGTAGACGGTGCCCTTAAAACAATACGCAACGGAATTGTTTAAACACGAACAATAAAACACCGAGAGCGAATTAAGTTCCACGGGAGTTAAAATCGCGCCGGTCTTCATTTAAGCGCCATAGGCGACAACCAGGCCCGCGGGCCTACTCCGGTAGCCAAGGGATACCGGTCACATCGATGTCGATTAACAAGCCCAAAACGTTGCCATCGACGCGACATTTAGGTTCCCGCCGGTCAACAAGAGTCCGCGACATTAAACGTTGCGATGATTGAAGCGATGGGGGCGCGGATGGCGCGGATTTTCGCGAGATTGTACGACCGCCGCCATCCCCTCACCTCGCAGCCTTAGCGGGGCCCGGTCCGAAGAGACCCTCACCGCGCATGCGCAGATCTTTGAACCCAGACCCCCCGATCGATTATCCATGGCGAGAGATCGTCTACATCCGATTCCTTTATCGATTCCTCGCGCGCGAAACTATAAAATGTATATTTTCCCCCTTCACCCACCTCCTGAACTACAATTATGTAGACCTTTTTAAGTCTAATATGGTTGAACGAACTGGATAGAATAAACGAAACGGACAGGGGGGGATAAAACTGACGTTATATAGGGAAAATTATTGGGAATCGATTCGGGGATCTTTTAATCAGTACTCTAGAATCGACGGGGTTGTGCAGCGTTGAACTTTTACATTTTTAACACTGCATACGTACTTGCACTGTATATTTATTAAACAATTTAAAGTCGCCGCTTAGCGAAACGTGTTAAATAAGTAACATCGTCACCAAGTATCTGGACTTATTTTATGTAATTTATTTCCTTTACCTCAGCGACGTTTTTTTTTTAAACAGTGCAATTAACCGAATTCACACGTTAATTGACAATTTATAAAAGTAGACACTACTGTAGATTTATTTTTACTTTTAATAACATCGCCACGTCATGCAATGGCTATATAAGGAATACTAGGTGAGGTGGCAGTCGGAGTGGGGGATTAGCTCAGATGGTAGAGCGCTCGCTTAGCATGCGAGAGGTAGCGGGATCGATGCCCGCATCCTCCAAAACAATATTTTTTTAACAATTTTATTTCACTTATTTTTATATTTAACTTACATTTAAGGTCCGGTGCTGATCGTAGTCTCACGCGAAATGTAGTGAATAATTTTTATTCACCTACCCGGGCATCGCAAACGCTTGTGAAAGCCGCAATGCGACTTGGGGCCCAAAGATTAAGTTGCCTAACCCTAAAATCTACGATGAATCATAAATGTATTTAATTACAATAGTTGTCGTACTCATAGTTTAAGTGGAGGAATACCAATAAATTATCGATTTGTAATGTCGCGTAATTTTAATTTGCCTTAAACAAAAATACGCCTATGGGACCGTCCATAAATGACGTCACGCACCTGGGGGGGGGGGGTCAGACATTTGTGACGATGTGTGACGAGGGGGGGGGGGGTGTTTGAGAAATGTGACGTCACATCAAAATGCGCAACTTTAAATAAATATAGACAACACGTTCTACTTAATTAAATAGACTTTTTAATAAATGTTTTCTCTAGTTTAAAGAGATTTGAAGCATGTTTTATATTTTTTTGGGGGGGGGCAGAGCTTTGTGACGTCATATTTGAGTGGGGGGGTCTGACTTTTTGTGTGACGAGGGGGGGGGGGGTCAAAAATCGTCCAAAATCGCGTGACGTCATTTATGGACGGCCTCTATGATCAAAACCACATTTAGAATGCACCAGCTAAGAGCCGGGACAATTCTTGGATGGTGCAACCACCGTGCACACCAGGTGTTATAGGCTGTAGGGGTCGATTCTCGGCAGCAGTGTCGTGCAGCAATATACATGGTTGTACCATACTTCTATGCCGACGTTCATGTCTATGCTCTTCCCCCCCCCCACAACTTTGCCAACCCACACTGATGATGAAGTATGGTCAAAACCGCCCCACGCGACTCTTACGTAGGAGGCAATATCCATGATATAGGTTTTGTTGGGTTAGATCGTGTAAATATATAAATGTGTCGTTAATCCCGCCACCACCCGACACAGCTGATTAGTAAAGATTTGTCACGTAAACAGAATGTAGCCAATTCGTCACTAGTACAGCACACCGGTTGTGTGTTGGAGAGCAAATCCACATTTACAATCTGAGTACGACGTTTCGCCAGTAATTACAACTCGCTTCGGGCGAAAATATTTTAAAATCGTTTAATGACAAAGCATATACATGGACACCATATCCTTCTTCAGACGCCATTGATAGGTGAATATACATTGTTTAAAGTTCACATTCTGGAACCTGGAACAAGAGCCTTAAATGTTGTTTAACCATTCTCTTTTACAAATATATCATGCAGAGTAATGCAAGTTTGTGTTGAAAGCGGACTCTGCAACAGCATTTCTTGTGATTTTGTTATTGACTTTTCGTTATTTTGTGCGATAAGAAACATCACTTTTGGAATTGTTCACGTCACTCTTTCCTGTAAATAGTTTATCAATAAAAACATCGGAAAAAAACACGGACTTTGCCCTTCTGACCTTTTAGCGTGAATCGAATATTTTCATTGCGTGTCCGACAAATCCATTATTTTCCTTCCTTACAGCACAGGCAGCATAAACACTGCCACTGAGTTGTCTCAAGAGCTAGAGGGGTGCTCTTGACGAAACATACATCGCATTTCGATTTAAAGCTTTCATGACTGCAGAGATTCATCTTCTTGGTTCTTTCGGTAAAGTCACGTAGAAGGGAAGTAATAAAATAATACAAATAAAACATAATAAAACAATTCTCACGACGTTTCGGCCACAACGCAAGCAGCCGTCCTCAGGTGAAAACCAGGTCTGTCGAGGTGAAAACCAGGTCTGTCGAGGCGACAGCGTCTGAATGAAACAGCACACGTGCTTGGAGCATATATATAAGCTGGGTTAGAAGGGGGGAAAAGGGCGCATTGACAAAAGAATATGCATATCAAGAGGCATTTAGCATATTTATGGGAAATGCAAGTATGTGATTAGTACTACTCATGCCCGTGCATTACGCAGGATTAGCAGCATCAAAGGGAAGGGATATGGGAAATGCAGGTATGTGATTAGTACTACTTATGCCCGTTTTATTTTTATTATTTTATTACTTCCCTTCTACGTGACTTTACTGAAAGAACCAAGAAGATACATCGCATTTCTTATCAATAGCACGGTGGGCAGCCACTATGATTTCACACCGCGCAGTGAATGCTTCGTTAAAATTAATCACTTCTCCTTCACAGTGTTCAGTGACATGGAGGGAATAACGTGTCATTCGCTTGCATATCGGCCCTACAGAGTCGCGTTCTTCTCGGCAGCCTTTGATATTAGTTATATTGGTTTAGCCATGTTTGTTTGTCGTAGTACAGAGTTAGACTGATGGCCTTAATCTAAGTTGTCTTGTGGTTGTTGTTGGTTGTTTGACTTGCATCCCACTGGGATTTTTGCACACAGCGTTGGTGTACGGTGATTTTTTTCTGCAATGTTTTTCCGTCTTTTCTTGGATTTCTGTTTGCACTCAGTCACATATTCACTTTAAGATGTTTTTTGTTCGTGTTTTTGTTTTTTGTTTGTTGCGGTTGCACCCGATTCAAGAGCCGAATGGCTCACAGGGCTATACCTAATAAATAAACTTGATCTTGATCACGCGAGGGCGATTTTGCGCTAAGGAGCTGGCCAGCTCAGCACGTGTCCCCGTTGAGCCTCGTGGAAAAAAGCAGACTCAAAAAAGACTGGCCACGGGGTCAACTGTCAGAGGTGCAGCGTCCACACGGCGCCGTCGCTGAGCCCGCTGTTGTCTCTGCGGGCGCTCTCGGGAAGCTCGTAGCGCGCCAGCTCGCGGAGAACCGGAGCCGTCGCCGCCGCCCGCGCTCCGAGCCACGCCTCGTATCGCTCCAAAAACACCGGCCGCCCGGGGTCTCCCACAAGCACCGTCGGAGCCGGGGGATCCGTCTCCTGCCCCCGCCGCCGCCGCCGCTGCGCCAGCGAGGTCTCGAGCCAGCGCAGGAGCGAGTGGACGGTGGTGCCGTCGTAGAACATGTCGCCCAGGAGGAGGACGTCCCACGGGGGAGACGGAGCGCGGTGCGGGAGGAGGAGGTCGCGCACGTCGACGCGCAGGGAGTCTGCGTGCACGCCGTTCAGCTCCGCGTTCAGGGAGATGGCCACGGCTGCCACTGTGGGTCGCGCGCGGACACAAAGATCCCTCGTATCGTCTCAACAGGCTGTTGGGGCAAGTGCTGTTAGCGAGTAGCACCTATAAATTCTAGATTTGAAGCTTTCGTGACTGCAAGGATTCATATTCTTAGTTTTTTTCGGTAAAGTCACGTAGATAAAAATTTAAATTATTAAAATTTTACTTTTATTAATTTTAATTTTTATCTACGTGACTTTACCTAAAAAAAACCTCAGAATAAGCACCTATAAAGGCCGGGCATAGCACATGAGGAGGTGGGTGGCCAACACCACGCCCGGACGCCTTTGTCTCCCCAGTGGCGATGTTTACACATCACACCAGGTACTCATTTGAGACCGAGTCGATTGAGATGCCCAGGACCGGTTCAGGTAATCGTCACTGGAGTTGGCCGTGAGCGGGAATCGAACTCGGGTCGCCCGGTTTGTAGTGCAGCGCGCTATCCGCTATGCACGCGTGTACACAAACGTGCACATACGCACAACAACAACCGCCATTCTCCACTAAGTGGTGGTGACCTCACCACGGCGCTTGTGCCAGGCTATGTGCACGTTAAAGCAACGCGAAGTGTCGAGCACCCGCTGGCAGGAGGTCACGGGACGGACCTAGGTGCCATGGGTTGACTGAGATGGCTGGCCGATGCATCGAAATGGAATTTTTTGCACTTTTTTGTGATGTTTAGATTTGTGGACAATGAATGTTAGGTGTATCTTGTAATTTTATTGTTTGTTGCGGTTGAACCCAAATCAAGAGCCGAATGGCTCACAGGGTAAATCCTAATAAATGGAACTGAAACCACCTGTGCCCCCTACATACGCACGTACACACATTCTGCTTAAGTGGTCCGAACCGATGTAAATCACAAGGCGGTGAATCCGGACTGGCGGTGAGTGGTTAAGCACTTCCCATTCTCATCTCCGCAAGAGCTGCAGTTGCCACATTGTCCACTAGAGAGCGAACGACATCGTACAATCACGTGGCAAACATTGACAGCAAACTCGGCACTCTGTTCCGTCCATGGACGAGAGAGCAGATACCGTTACCACCTAAGGAAGCAAAACGTCACGCGTTCCGATTTTTTTATAACGGCGAAGAAGAGTGTACTCTTAGGTTTTTTCGGTAAAGTCACGTAGGTAAAAATAAATAATAATAAAAGTAGAAATTTTTTAATTTTTATTTTATTATTATTTTATTTCTATTATTATTTCTATTATTTTTTATTATTATTTATTTTTACCTACGTGACTTTACCGAAAAAAACCTAAGAGTATGAATCCTTGCAGTCACGAACGCTTCAAATCTAGAATTAAGAGTGATTTGCTTGATAACCCCACTCATTTAACATTGTTCTCACACAATGCACTGCTAATGGCCACAGACAGAAATTAGCTCCATGCGACATCAGGTGGTACTGGACAGGGAGATAACTGGTCTGGGCTCACGGACTAAGCCGTTTGCACATCACACGGTGCATTACTTCGCCACGTGCAAGGAAATCGACGTGAATTACGCCGCGGACTTCCCACGACCTCTGGCAGCAGAGCGCGAGCCGTGACAGGTTGAGAAAGGAGCCGGGTCTCCATTCTAACTGGAGATTGTGAGAAACTCATCGTATGGCAGAAGAGTGCGTACAGGCCGGCAACAAGAGTACTGATAGTAGTAGTAGTCGTAATAAACACATTCCTCCTGCGGAGGGAGCTGGTAGGAACGTTGGGTTGCTCGGTCAATGGCCAGGGTCAACGGCGGCGTGGTGTATTCCGCAAATATGGCCGACTGTGAGGGCGGGCACAAGCCGGTGTGAGTAGGTTAAACGTTGAGTTTTATAAGGGCACCACGGGGTGACTAACCCCTCCCCACCCAGCCCCACCCCTCCCCACTCAGTCCCTCCCCACACAGCCCCTCCCCACCCTCCCCTCCCCACCCAGGCCCTCCCCACCCTCCCCACCCAGCCCCTCCCCACCCTCCCCTCTCCACCCAACCCCACCCCTCCCATTTTTGGATGCACGACGAACAGACGCACACAATAATCCCCTGTGGGCTGGTGTAACCAGGAGGTTCCTACCAGTATAACTGCACACATGGGGGATGCTGCCACAATGGTGGTGTTAGTGGTCAGCACACTGGGCTTGACATCCGGAGGTCGCCGGTTCGATCCCAGTAAGAGGAGAGGGTTTCCCTCACTTCTGTGTGAAGGAGTTGCGAATCACAATCAGTATACGTATTTATACTGGGGGAATCCGATGAGCTATAAAGCTCTTTTTCACAGATGTCCAGTAAGGCCACAGGGTCAGAACGTTACAGCAACAAGTAAAAAAAAACACGTGATAGGAGTGCAAAAATATAGGAAAAGTAAACAAATCACACACAAAAATATACAAATAAAATTGCACAATTTCTTTTTTACCAGGTAAAGCCCATTGAGCTCTTAACTTCTTTTTTCAGAAGCGACCTGGCCACAAATTGTCGCTCAACAAAAGTGGCTTATCATGCGGAAATTTAAAGCAGCAAAAGCATCCAAACGAATCTAAATGGGTGTTTCTAAATGTGCCAGGGGCAGACAGCGGCTTGTGTAGCGGAGCCAACGAACCGGGGTCGATGTCATTTGCCACCACGATCGAGGCCCCCGCCTTGGCGGCCGCGATCGCTGCAGCCCCACAGCCGCTGCCCAGGTCCAGCACGGCCCGGCCAGCCACCACGTCCGGCTGGTCCAGGAGGAACCTGGAGACCGACACAATGACGACGATGATAACGACAACCCGGCGACCAGAGCTCTTTCTCCACCGAGTCATTTCAAGCCGAAGCGTAAACGTGAAATAATTGTAATATGAGGATATATCCGGCTCACTGACGTATCACAACTCGTCATGGTGATTGGCTCTGCCGGTCCTGGTTTACAGCCAATGGGGGGGAAGCCTGGGGGCATGGCCCTGACGTGATGGAAAGGTGACAGCTATAAGGATTGGTTCTGCTGGCTTTGGCCACTGCCAATTGGGGGGATGAGTCAGGGGCATGGTCCCGGGAGCTGACGAGGGAGCCTGGAAGATTCGATGCAGGCTAACGAGGATTGGCGGAAACGTACCACGTGACCCGGGTATTAAATAGGGGTGGAGACGAACGACACATGGTCAGAACGGGAACGAACAGAGGAAGGGGGCCACGCGGGAGCGGGGCTCCGAGTTGTCACGTGGCAGTGCGTCTGTCTCTCTATCTGTCCCTCTCATGTTGCCTATCAGCAGCGTGAAGTAACTGTAACATAAGTTGAATAAAAGACGGATTCCAGAAGTCGTCTCAACGAGCTTTATTACATATTTATGAACGGTAAAAGCCAACGGCCGCCGCGAAGGCTTTTGCGGCGTTGTATAGCGTATCGTTTGGTGCGATGTCCGACGTTTCGATGCCACGTGCTGGGCGATTATTGTTTATTTATTATTCCTTATTATTTAAAATTGAATCCAGGAAGGGAAGTTAAAATTTCAGTGCTGGGAGCTTTTGTTCAGCAACCGGAATTGCCAATTTCAGAGGCTGAAGAAAAGCTCCGAGGCACGTGCAACGAAACGTCGGACATCACGCGGAAACAACACGCGGGGTGGCACAACCTGAAAACCCACACCTGTACGCCACGCAGCACAACCGTGGAAAACCCTACGCGAAATATCGTTTCACGTTTACACTTGTATTTCTTTGATACAAGCCGGCAATAATGAGTCGTCACCGCTGTGGGCACCGTAGTGGCGAGATGTTAACTTCCTCGCCTGGTATGCAGGAGGTAGTGGGTTTTATCCCTACCCTGACACCTGTATATTTCGAGTTTGCATGTTCACCACGCGGTCGCGTGCATTTTACTCCAGTGTTTCCCTCCACGTGCGTTTAGATTACTTGGCTGCTATATGTCCACGTGACAAGCCACTTCATTGAGCTTTCATTTATGACAACCAGGTCGCTTCTGAAAAAGAGAAACATAGCTCAGTGGGCCTTACCTGGTAAAATAAAAAAAATGGTTAAGTTTAGTAGCGCACCTGGCCAGCACCTGGCCGCCGGGCCAGTAGATGGCCCAGTAGGGATCGGCGGGAAAGGGCCACGTCTCGGGCCGCGCGGTCCAGAGCGGGCAGCGCGGCGTGAGCAGCCGCAGCGTCAGCTCGGGGGTCAGGTGCTCGCGGCTCGCCTCCATGTTGGCCTCGATGAAGTCCCGCACGGCCGCCTCTCCCTGCGGCCTCCCCGTGCCGCCGCGCGTCCCGCTGGGCCTGCGGAGGCCCTGGGCCACCGGTGACCAACGGGGTCCCAGCCGCAGGCCACTCAGTCCACGTGTCGCCAGCAAACGGGGCCCCAGGGATGGCAGCATGGCCCAGGTAGAAATGCCTGCGCGCAGAAAACACACGTGTGAACAACACGGTTGTGCGAGTATCTGGTGCGTTGTGTAAACATTTGTCCCAAGTCTGTTAAGGCTATCCGAGGAATCTTTGTCTTTGTATATGCTGTATAGGTCACGAAGCCAGCATGCCCAGCCAACGCATGCCCAAACATTTAAACCGGTCCAGGTTGACTGCACCCCTTCACTGGCCTGTTTTGACCAGCGTGGTGAAGTACGGTCACACACCCACCATGACTGGCATGGCTTGGGGGAGGCATCCATCCAGCAGTGGATTGACAAACGGCTACTAGAATTTAGGATACTTTATTGTTCGAATTTTTTTTATTTAATTCCCAGTAAATGGGACGATTGGCTACGTACGGTGCGAAGGAAGTTCAACGTACTTAATTATTGTAAATGTTATTGTACATGCGGATAGTAAATGTTGTGGATTTGCTCTCAAACACACCGGTGTGCTGTATTCGTAACGAATTGGCACGTTCTGTTCACGTGACAAACCTTACTAGTTGGCTGTACTGGGTGGTGTCGGGTTTAAAGACATATTTATATTTACGCGATCTAACTACAAAAAAACCTATATGATGAATATTGGTCGCGAAAGCGTACATTTTAAAACCGTACATACTTATATTGTCGTCAATGTTAAACAAATTTACTATTGATGCTTCCACTGCTGCGGCGTTGGCCGTGGTGTGCAAGCGCACACACATTAACAAAACAAAAACACAACAAATGGTTTAATAAACAAAAAACAATGTGGCCTTAAAAGTTAAATATATAAGATGGGAGAGGTTCAGGGCAATTGCCCTTGTTCACGGCGCATACAATGGTCGGAAAAACTAGGGTGGAAAAGAGTTTTGATAGTGAATGGATCGGGTGATAGGGCAGAGTTAATTAAAACCATGATCAGAAAGGACAACATTCAGGCAAGATTATCGAGGTCGCGTGCAAACAAATGGGTGATTGCCCACGCTCCAGACACCAATCAGTGACGGAGACAGGCGAATAATTAAGCACTGGATGAGCAAATCGGGCGTTTGGTGATTACTGTATTGAAATCTGCAAATGACGATGAAGACCCCATCTGAACCGGGTAAAGTGGGACAATTCAGTCAACGTTCCAAACTCTGGCCCAACGGTTCATTGACGTTGGACAACGTTTCAACGTTCGTTCGACGTTGGTGCCTTCACAAGCGTTGGGCCAACGTTGCCACAACGTTGGGGCAACGCTTGTGAAGGGCCACTGGGAAGAGACCTCTAGAGAGGGAGCGTTTGTGCCAAACCGTATTCTCAGCAAGGGTGGCACATCTTCTTGGTTCTTTCGGTAAAGTCACGTAGAAGGGAAGTAATAAAATAATAAAAAATCAAACATAATCAAATATTATTGTTTGATTTTTATTATTTTATTACTTCCCTTCTACATGACTTTACCGAAAGAACCAAGAAGATGAATCCCTGCAGTCACGAAAGCTTTAATCGAAATTTAAGGGTGGCACAGTCGGGTATTTTACAATCGGGTTTAATTGTCTTTTTATATTAAACCCGATCATCTGAGATTGGAAGAAATCCGGTTTAATTGGTTCTAATTGCAGAACCGCACTTCGCCAACTTCTCAACGATGGGCTTCATTCATTCCAAGCTAAGGAACTCACTGGCGGTGCCCACGATTGTGGAGAAGCTTGTGTTCATCAAGACCAACCAGCCCGTATTCTACGACGGCCCCGAGTACGATAGCAGCACCGACGAGGAAGCAGCCTAAGCCTTGGATCAGAGTTTCGTATTCATTAAACCAGGTTCTAATTCCCCGAAATCAGGTTTAATTGTATTAAAGGCAAAAAACCCGGTGCCTGCCGCTGGAAAAATCGAGTTATTTCCACCCATGATTCTCAGGACTATAATACGCCCCTTACCTGTGCACTTGAAAGCAAATGTTATTGCTGCATCTTGTATGAAATGTAATTATTAAATATATATGATGCAATTTGAACGTATGTACTTTTTATTTATTAAAGGGGTGCCACGGTGGTGTGAGATGTTGACTACCTCGCCTGCCGTGCAGGAGATTCGTGGGTTCGATCACGACCCTGACGCCTGCTGCTGTATATTTGGAGTTTGCGTGTTTCTCTCTCTCTCTCATCAGCATCACGGTGGCTAGGAGATTTTAACTACCTCGCCTGGTCTACAGGAGGTCGTGGATTCGATCCCGACCCTGACGCCTACTGCTGTATATTTGGAATTTGCGTGTTTCTCCCTCTCTCTCTCATCATCATCACGGTGGCTAGATGTTGACTACCTCGCCTGGTATACAGGAGGTCGTGGGTTCGATCCCGACCCTGACGCCTGCTGCTGTGTATTTTGAGTTTGCGTGTCTCTCTCTCCCCGTGGTCGCGTGGATTTTTTTTGCACGGGTCCCACGGTATTTCCCTCCACATTTAGAAACATGGCATTGAGATTATTTAGATGGTGGTGCTACAAATGATGGGGCCACTTTTGTTTGAGCTATCGTATGTGAAGGCCAGGTCGCTTCTGAAAATAAGTTAATAACTAGGTGGGGTTCATATTCTTGGCTCTTTCGGTAAAGTCACGTAGAAGGGAAATCATAAAAATTCAACATAAAAATTATCACGTTTATTTATTTTTTACAATGTCTAATAGTGTATTGTATTACATTGCTGTTTTTATTTGTTTACCTTTCCTTGTTTCATTGTATGTAATGGCAGAGATTAGGGATTAATAAAGTACAAGCATAACCACAATCATATAAACAGAAAATCTATTTTATAGCAATATATTGGGGGGGGGGACATTTTGAGCATATTTGAATATTGGGGGATAATATCTATTGGGGGGGGATCCCCCCAATAGATATTATAATGACGGCCTTGATGCTACTGACACGCGGCACGGGTGTTTAGGGTCCGTCTTACTTTCTGGAGCGTCTAATAGCCGGGAACATATCCGGTGGTCAAATCAAATGATGTTTGGTACCTGCAATACACAAATTATCCGACACTGCTGGCAATGTTGCACAAGCACAATTACCAAAGACCCCAACATTATCGAAGAGTCTGTTACTCAACACCTAAGAGTGTAACTACTTTATGCTTTCAATTTTTATTGTTTTATATTTATATTATTTTATTAAATTATTTCCCTTCTACGTGACTTTACCGAAATAACCAAGAATATACTTTATGCTTTGCCTATTTAAAAAAAAAACTGATTAGCAGGAAAGATAAAAAATATATACAATTCAGGGTCCCATTGGTGTAAAGTTAAGTATCCATCTCGCATCTCTCTGTGTGCCTATAGGCGAAGGGTCATTGCCCGAAACGTCTATTATATATTATTTCTCTCTTAAGGCCACAGTACTGTCGACGGGCGTGCTGCATTATTGTCAATTGTGCGCCAGGAGCTAACGTGAACAGCGTCCATCAGCAGACGAGTGTTTAGTGTTGATCGCCACTTAAAAAAAAACTCGCGTGGCACGAAGCTATCCGCTCCGCCCAAACATTACTCGCGCAGTAGACACCCATTCAAAGCCGGCAGTCGCGGAAACGCAGCCCTCGACACAACAACGGTGGTGGGCACACGTGAAACCCGGGGCCATGTAGCAGCGGCGGCGTCAATAGGCGCTCGCAAACTGCGGCGTGTTTACAGAGCGGGCGCGCGTGACTGTACGTACCCTGATCACACGTGCGCCACTGTACCCGCGCATGTGACCACGTGCTCCACTGTACCCGCATGTGGCCACCACGTGCGCAGGTACAGTGGCGTACCAACCCCGGGCACGTGGCTACCACGTGCGCAGGTACAGTGGCGTACCAACCCCGGGGCACGTGGCCACGTGGTGTTGAGCAACTACGCCCATCGGTGTGCCGTGCCGGACTCAATAGATGGTAGCTAACAGCACTTGCCCCCGGCAATCTTTTGAAGGCTAGACGAGGGGGGTCTTTGTGTTTTGTGGGTGGCACCGATTGTGTACTGTACCATGGGGGGCGCAGCGGTGGCTATGAGATGGTATCTCCTTCGCATGGCATACAAGAGGGCGTAGGTTCCATCTCGACCCTGACGCCTGCTGCATGTATCAAGGCCGGAGCCATGGAGCAGAGGTCGCAAACGGGTTTTGATTCCTTACCTGTACCCGTACCCGACCGCACCAGGGTCGCAAACGGATACCCGTACCCGGCCGTACCCTACCCGGCCGGGTACGGGTAGGGTACGGGTATCGGGTACCTGATTGCGACCTCTGGGATGAAGCCATGTTGCAGGCGCGGGTGGGTTGATTCTGGGATCTTGAATTGTGAGAAGAGACAAGACGTTGGGAAATGAGTGACAAACGGTGACTCACCAGTGACTCACGGCCTACCCGTACCCGGCCGCACCAGGGTCGCAAACGGGTACCCGGGTACGGGTAGCCGTGTATCGGGTAGGGTACGGGTATCGGGTACCCGGTTGCGACTTCTGCCATGGAGTCTACATTGGGGGGGATCAAATCTTCTAGCGGGTCTGGGGTCCTCCCCAGAAAAAAATATATAAATTTGAAAACTAATTTCCTGCCTAAAATATAAAAAAATTAACAAACACGTGGGATGGACTTTTGATTCATTTTTTACAATAATGTCTAATAGTGTATTGTATTACATTGCTCTGTTTTAACTTTTTAACCTTTCCTTGTTTCATTGTATGTAATGGCTGAGATTAGGTATTCATAAAGTACAACCATAACCATAACCACAATCATATGAACAGAAATCTATGCATTGTTATATGAAGACGAGTCCAGATATTGTGTCCAAGGTTTAGCAAATAGTTTTTATTTACATAACATCGTAATTATTTGTAAAAATATTTTTATAGCAATATATTGGGAGGGACATTTTGAACATATTTGAATTTGGGGGGGGGGGGTCGCTTTAAACTATTGTCATTTTAGTGCGTATTTAATGTGGCGCTGCACTCTGATGTTGTAGGAGAAAACATTTATTAAAAAGTCTTTAATTAAGTAGAACGTGTTGTCTATATTTATTTAAAGTTGCGCATTTTGATGTGACGTCACATTTCTCACCCCCCCCCCCCTCGTCACACATCGTCACAAATGTCTGATCCCCCCTAAGGTGCGTGACGTCATTTATGGACGGCCCCTAAGATAAAATAAACTTTATAAAACACATATGCGCGCTGGGTAACACTTCACCAACGTACTGATGGAACAGATGGAGTAAACATCTTTTTTAAATCCTTTATATTAAGTTCGCTTGCTTGCTTACGACCATGCAAATCTTTCGGTCGTTTTTTAACCCACTTCCCGTGATCCAATCGAGCTGACATTTTCCACACAGACTCGTTGTGCGTGACAATTTTCGTGAATTTTTTTTCCCAAAATTGTACACTGTTTAAGGAATTTTTTAAAATATGTAATTACCAATTGCTTAATGCTGGCAGACAATCATCTGACCCATAGGTGGCAGCCATCTCAAGCCAGAGGACGAGAGGACTCTAGCCGCCACGCATATAAAGGATTTATAGTGAAAAACTTTGTTTTTACGGGTTAATTTTTTTTTTGCTCTAAGGCCACATTCTGGCGAGCCCAGGGTTCACGTCTCCCTCCCTGCTCGACTTACACGGGAAGGGAGTTTAACGTCATTTGGTTAATCCACAGTGCCGACTCACGGCGAGAGAGGCATTGCCGTGTCTGTGTATCAACAGGAGTTTAAACCACAGTGTCTGTAAGGGGCAATCCGTTTAGTGAAGGGGGGTTAACCCAAATACGTAGCTTGCGTATGGGGGGTGATGCCTCGATAATAATTTGTCTACATTGGACTTCAAATTAGTTAGATAGTCCGGCGGTGGACTATCTGTTTGCTAAAACACGTTAATATTATTAATCCTTGATCGTTTCTGTGTGGATTAAATATCGACCGTTCTATAGGATTTGGGGGGGTAGGGCTCAAGTTTTTAGATATTTTTTGCGTTCGTACGAAAAAGATTGCCCCTAAGCACTTGTAGTGTATTTACACAGCCCTGTATTTGTATTCTGTGCTTACTCATCCGTAACAAATCAATCCACCAGGCAGCGTTTTCTTATCAGGAGTGTACTTACTAAAGGCTTTGTTACTAACCCCTGTAGGTAACATCACCAAGTAAACATGCAACGTTGGATCTGTACAGGGCACATAAGCCGATTTAAAAAATACTTGTCATCAGAAAACATTCGACTCTCTCATCAGGGCCTCCCATGGTGTAAACTTCAGTCTCATAACTGGTATCATCATCATCCACCCTCCCTCTCTGGCATCTATATTTACGTCTTGTGAAGAAGGTCCATTGCCTGAAACGTCACCTATTTATTGTTCTTATCAGCAGGGGTTAGGAAGGCGAGGGCAACTGGATAAATAAGAGCCACCACACACAACTGATGTCACCATCACATCACCGCCACACGCGCACTACGCACACAAATGAGGTCATCATCGCACGTGGCCATTGAAACTCAAAGGTGACAGCCAAGCTAGCTACTACACATGTAGTTACTTGTGCTACTAGGATAATCCGGCACTGATGTTAAGTTGAACAAATGCTGCTGGAAAATATTTCCCGTGGCAAGGTTAATATTGAAGCCGATGGACTCAACATTTATGTACGTGCCACTGAATTTGCGTGAACACAAGTAGGAGAGCAAAAAAAAAGTTGACAATAAACACCCACGCATCAATAAACACCCACGCAGCAATAAACACTCACGCACCAATACACACTCACGCAGCTGCATGCAAATGACTCGGACGTGAATGGACGAGACCGTTACATCATCGGTGTCCACCGCACCTCCAAATAGCACCATTGGCTACGTACGTTGCGAAATAAGTACGACATACATAGACTCGCACAGAGACCCATGGACTCGCACAGAGACCATAGACTCACACAGAGACCCGTACACTCACACAGAGACCCACAGACTCACACAGAGACACACATACTCACATAGAGACTCATAGACTCGCACAGAGACCCATAGACTCCCACAGAGACCCATAGACACACAGAGACCCATAGACTCACACAGTGACCCGTACACTCACACAGAGACCCACAGACTCACACAGAGACACACATACTCACATAGAGACTCATAGACTCGCACAGAGACCCATAGACTCCCACAGAGACCCATAGACACAAAGAGACCCATAGACTCACACAGTGACCCACAGACTCACACAGAGACCCATAGACTCACACAAAGACCCATAGACTCGCATAGAGACCCATAGACTCACACAGAGACCCATACACTCGCACAGAGACACACAGACTCACATAGAGACTCATAGACTCGCACAGAGACCCGTAGACGCACACAGAGACCCACAGACTCACACAGAGACCCACAGACTCACAGAGACCCGTACACTCACACAGAGACCCACAGACTCACACAGAGACACACATACTCACATAGAGACTCATAGACTCGCACAGAGACCCATAGACTCACACAGAGACCCATAGACTCACACAGAGACCCATAGACTCACTCAGTGACCCACAGACTCACACAGAGACCTACAGACTCACACAGAGACCCACAGACTCACAGAGACCCACAGACTCACAGAGACCCAGAGAGATGCTACGCCGAGGCATGCCGTACGACCGCTTATTCCGACACACACTCAGACGCGTTATATCCAACTTGCTTCAGCGTTATATATTTATAATTAAAAAAAACTGTTCCCCTAATGCATTCGTCGCATTACATCAGATCATCAAGGGGATGATGAAGAGCCCTGGCCAAGGAGAATCCAAGGGCACGAAGAGAATGAGCGACTAATTAGTTCAAAGTCTCAAGTCCCTTTGTTGTGTAGAGTGACGCAATTGCGGTGGATGCCTTATCGTCTGCGCTCTTTCAAAGGAAGAGGAGGATTATCGTCACTACTACGGACCCCCCCCCACCGTCCCTCTCTCTCTCCCGAAGGCATCTATCTCGTCTCGTCGTGACCAGCAGCAGGACTTGGACATTGGCACTCAGCTCAAAACTGGGATTAACACTGCAAATTCGAAGAATGCGCAAGCAACGATGGACATCGTTACTCTGAAAACGTGGCCGGGACCCACGTGTAAAAATTAGTCACGAGGCTCGGTAAAGCCTTCCCTGGGTACAAAAAAAATTAACCCGTAAAAACAAAGTTTTTCACTATAAATCCTTTATATGCGTGGCGCCTAGAGTCCTCTGGCTTGAGATGGCTGCCACCTATGGGTCAGATGATTGTCTGCCAGCATTAAGCAATTGGTAATTAAATATAATTTATTTTTTCCTAAAAAGTGTAAAATTTTGGAATTTTTTTCCACGAAAATAAATTGTCACGCACAGCGAGTCTGTGTGCAAAATGTCAGCTCGATTGGATCACGGGAAGTGGGTTAAAAAACGACCGAAAGATTTGCATGGTCGTAAGCGCGCAAGCAAGCAAGCAAGTGAACTTAATATAAAGGATTTAAAAACGAGTCGCGAGACTCGGTAATGCATTTCCTGCGTAAAAAAAAAGTAATCAAATAATACAACCTTTGTAACGAGATCGACGTTCTAAATGTTGTGTGCGTGTCAGTGTAAGCTGGGGCTCGATAGATGAATAGTGGAGAGTGGTGGCGCAGCGGTGAGTACACTGCGCCAGGAACCCGGCGACCCGAGGTCGATTCTGAACGGTTCATGGGTCTCCCCTAATAATCATAATAATTTACATTTATTTGTAAGGCGCCTTCCACTAACGTCTCAAGGCACCTTAAGTCTGCTCGGCCTCAAATGAGTACCTGGTGGGGGTGTGTAAACATTGCCAGTGAGGAGACAAAGGCGGTCGGGCGTGGTGCTGGCCACCGACTTTGTTAAATGTAAAATAAAAGAGTGATTTTTTTTTGTTAGAATGCATGGAGAGGGAGGTCTGTGACCCTTGAATTCCGAGATTAGACCCTTGTAGACATGACGTCACCCACCAGGTAAAAGCCACCTGGTTGCCGTGGAAACGCAGTAATATTATGATCTTTTAAAAGCGTCTCCCACATTTCTTTTTTACCCTGTGAACAAAACAATAACTTGCGGCATTTTTTTAAATTCAACGAATTTGGGAATGGATATTATATTAAATGTAAATGCAGTAAATCGTCGCACATCCGTGTTCAGACATTCAAAACGCCAAATAAATACCGAGGCTTCTTATTCTTAGGTTTTTTCGGTAAAGTCACGTAGGTAAAACATTAGCCGCACACGCATGTGGTAAAACATGCGAACAGGCGTGCTTGGATGTGTGTTGTGTTTGAAACTGATTGACCCACACCAGAGAAACAATGCTCCCCCACGTACGTGTCTCGTCACCGGTGTTAGGTCACAGAACGAGGTCAAAACGGTGAACATCAACAACAAAGGCAATGCGGAATATCTGAGCATTTGCCGCTAGTGGCGAGCAGTTAATGAGAGGTCAGCTCCAATCCACTCTCGTAGTGTCAGACGAAGGCTGTATTCCAAAAGGGATCCATCGATGTTAATTGGGGAGGTTAGCGGGGCCAGAGGAAGGCTACCACGTTGTTTCGGCGTTTAGAGTTTGAGAGTCGATTTTGTTTTATCCCGGTGAGCGCCACTCACACGGCTACTTTACACGGAAGATTCGTGTGGTGCGTTATTACAGCAGCAGCAAGCGATTAAAGCACCGATATTGCAGAGAACGAATGGGTACAGCAGGGTCCTTTACTGAATAGTGCACAACTAACAAAATGAAATAAAAGTAGTGGAGATCTATGAAAAAGAGCATTAAAACTCATCGGATTCCTCGAGTATAAATACGAATTTTTTATTCCCGATTGAAACACATACAAATTATAAAAAAAAAATTCAACTATTATACGAGAGTAAGATGCGCCGTAAACATTTAGTTACAGGTGGACGTAAGCTGTGTCTGTGTTTTGTTCAAGTATGAAAATAAACTGGGAGGGCTGTATATTATTATAATAATGAGGCTACATTTCGATTTAAAGCTTTCGTGACTGCAGGGATTCATCTTCTTGGTTCTTTGAAACAGCACACGTGCTTGGAGCATATATATAAGCTGGGTTGTAAGGGTGGTGTTTCATTCAGACGCTGTCGCCTCGACAGACCTGGTTTTCACCTGAGGACGGCTGCTTGCGTTGTGGCCGAAACGTCGTGAGAATAATTTTATTATGTTTTATTTTTATTATTTTATTACTTCCCTTCTACGTGACTTTACCGAAAGAACCAAGAAGATGAAGCTACACTTTGACTGACCATTGCCAAAAGGAATGTGGTGGGACAATTCCCTAGAATACCCTGGGGAAACTCCCAGACGGATAGGAGGGGAAATTGCTGGGGCAATTCACGCAGCCACCCACTCCCTGGATTGCGTCATAGCCCTGCAGGCGGGGAGCCCGATAACCAGACGATGATCTTTGCGTGATCCATCAACCCTGTCTTCACAGATGCTAAATTGCACATTGCATTGTACACGTTTGAACCCCGTTCATTTAAATTCTTGAAATAACTTGTCATCAGACGTGGTCAATCCACTGCTTAATATACATAGAGTATCAATTTAAAGCTTTCGTGACTGCAGGGATTTATCTTCTTGGTTCTTTCGGTAAAGTCACGTAGAAGGGAGGTAATAAAATAATAAAAATAAAACATAATACAATAATTCTCACGACGTTTCGGCCATAATGCAAGCAGCCGTCCTCAGGTGAAGAACAGGTCTGTCGAGTAGACAGAGTCTGAATGTCTACTCGACAGACCTGCTCTCCAACTGAGGACGGCTGCTTGCGTTGTGGCCGAAACGTCGTGAGAATTATTGTATTATGTTTTATTATTTTATTATTTCCATTCTACGTGACTTTACCGAAAGAACCAAGAAGATGAATCCCTGGAGTCACGAAAGCTTTAAATCGTTTTAATGTTGTTTTGTGTTCAAAGTTTAGGAACTCGCGGATTCAGTAGACAGATAAAAAAAAGTAAACAACTTGTGGGCGGGGCTTAAACAACTAGGGGCGGGGCTTGAGTGGGATGGGGGCGGGGCTTGAGTGGGATGGGGCGGGGCTTGAGTGGGATGGGGGCGGGGCTTGAGTGGGATGGGGCGGGGCTTGAGTGGGATGGGGCGGGGCTTGAGTGGGATGGGGCGGGGCTTGAGTGGGATGACGCGAGGTGGGCGGGGCTTGAGTGGGATGACGCGAGGTGGGCGGGGTTTAAGTAGACGTGGGCGGAGCTTAATTTGCAAGCGAACGCGCTCATTGGCCAGTCGAAACTAGCGAGCCACGCCTTTTAACGGACGCGCGCGCTTGAATGCGGCCTATATAAGGCGGTGGCGCCACACGTGTTTACCGCTCAACGTCGCGATAACTTTCAGAGTTTTAGTTTCGCGTTCTGGGTGTTATCCGGTACATTCTCATTCTCTCTGGTAGCAGGAGTGGTTGGCAGCGTTGGGGTGGGTGGAGGGAGCTGGTTACAACAGTTAGCGGTTTGCAAACGTGTGCTGTAACGAGTCCGGGTGAGTCGGATAACATTTGTGTGCGTATACTGCATGTGCAACATAATTGTGCATGTACAATATCTTGCAAGAGGTGTGTGTGTGCGCGTTGCAGCTAGTGAGTGCACGCCACTTGGCATTGTGCAAATGCACGTAGCGTAATCTGTGTGCTCGAGTGCGTTCTTAGATTGTGTGCATGCAGTCGAAAGAAAGTAGGTACGTACAGTACGTAACTTTGTAACCATTACCGTGTCGACTAATAAGTTGCGTGCAACTTTTGAACTACTTTGCTTGTCGTAGAAGTGGAACCCGGTTGGGGTGGTGAGTTCTGCAATTCCTCACGGTTTGTCAACTGCCAACAACCCCAACTGGCGGAGAGAAAAGTGGCAAAGTAAATGATATCTTGCCGGGGCAGGCTGACTAACAAAATTAATATTACATCTTTGGGGGGAGGGTTGAATTGGTCCGGGAAGATTTGTGAAACTTTTTTTTAAAGTTTTAGGAAAATAATAGGGTGGTAGGTAGTGTTTTTAAGGTGGTCACGGGGGGTATCTCGTCTGATTTTTTTTTTTTACACGAGCCAGCCGGTTTGGCACGATTGACAACCTACGTACGGTGCGAAAGAAGTTCAACATCAATTTTAGTAGTAGCAGCATCGGCAGCAGTATTTTCTGGTTAAGTTTAAGTAGAGTTGATACGTAACAAGAAGGAAATCATGAGTTACGGGGCCAGGCGTCAAATTTTGCGGCACATCGTCAACAACAGCAACAGTAGCAACAACAACAACAGCTACCACAGCAGCAGCAACAGTCGCATCAACAGCAGCAGGAGCAGGTCTAACCCCAGCACCAAGTCGACTTGCAACACCAAGGGAGCTCCCAGCAGCAAAGTGACCGGCAAGATTTCTAGCAGCATCACCAGATCCGACAGAATCAGCAACAGCAGCAGCCCCAGCAGCAGCAACAACATCACCAGATCCGAAAGAATCAGCAACAGCAGCAGTCCCAGCAGCAGCAACATCACCAGATCCGACAGAATCGACAACAGCAGCAGCCCCACCACCACCCCCAGATCCGACAGAATCAGCCCCACCACCACCACCACCAGCAGCATCATCACCAGATCCGACAGAATCAACATCAGCAGCAGCAGCAACATCCCCAGATCCGACAGAATCAACATCAGCAGCAGCAGCAAGATGAGATCTGGTGGCAGTAGCAGCGGCATCAGCAGCAGCAGCAACACGGTTGTGGTGGCTCGGAGGTTGGACTGGAGTCAGGATGAGGACAGCGGCTCCTCCACCGACGATTCCGCCTTCAACGAGGACAGTTTCTGCTCCCCTCCTGCCGCTATCCCACCGCCACCTCCACCACCAACACCACCACCATCGTCTCCTCCTTCACCACCACCACCATCAGCAGCAGCAGCACCACGCTCGGCAAGCCGCGTCGTCGTCCACCACCAACACCACCAGTGGCGTGCTTTCGACCCTATGCCGGCTGTGCCCTCTTCACCCGAAGATTCGCTGCTGAGCGGAGGCTCTCCCCCACCATTCTCCCACGGTGGCACCGACGATGACGACTGTGGTGGTGGTGGTGGTGGCGGTGGTGGTGGTGGTGGCACAGATTACAGGGGCGATGACTTTGCCGCAGCTCGTCGACTTGACAATTGTGGCGCTGGCGAAGGTGGCAGTGACGACGACGGTGGTGGTGGTGCCACCTCTGCTGATACTGCTATTGATGATGATGATGATGGCGGTGGCGGCACTGCTGATGAAGACGACAAGGAGAATCGGACCCCGCGTCGGCCCCGACCCCGATGGGGGTTCCAGGGTGTGGGGGGCAGTCCCGACGAGGTCGGGAGGTCATTGCGCCCCGAGTCGCCTCCGCACAAGACGATGCACAAACTGCGACTCATGGACTCGCCGCATTCTCCCAAGGTAAGCGACGCCGGTAATGTCATTTAAACATCTGGGCAGTTCATTGCTTCAAGCGAGGATGACTGCTGATGGGACACTGTATGTCAAAACCGGTGTTGGCATTTAAACATCTGGGCAGTTCAGCAGCATTGTTGGTTCAAGCGAGGCTGACTGCTGATGAGACACTGCATGTCAAAACCGGTGTTGGCATTTAAACATCTTGGCAGTTCATCAGCATTGTTGGTTCAAGCGAGGCTGACTGCTGATGAGACACTGCATGTCAAAACCGGTGTTTGCATTTAAACATCTTGGCAGTTCATCAGCATTGTTGGTTCAAGCGAGGCTGACTGCTGATGAGACACTGCATGTCAAAACCGGTATTTGCATTTAAACATCTTGGCAGTTCATCAGCATTGTTGGTTCAAGCGAGGCTGACTGCTGATGAGACACTGCATGTCAAAACCGGTGTTTGCATTTAAACATCTGGGCAGTTAATTGCTTCAAGCGAGCAGGACTCTGCTGATGAGACACTGCATGTCAAAACCGGTGTTGGAATTTAAACATCTGGGCAGTTCATTGCTTCAAGCGAGCATGACTCTGCTGATGAGACACTGCATGTCAAAACCGGTGTTGGAATTTAAACATCTGGGCAGTCCACCAGCATTGTTGGTTCATGCGAGCCTGCCTGCTGATGAGACGCTGCATGTTGAAACTGGCCCACAGTTTTCGCTTGTATTGAATGCCATGCTGACGAAATTATGCATTCCCACAAGGGTTGCGTTGCTGATGGGATCTGTAAGAAATGCTTGTATTTGTGTATGTGCATAGAGAAAGTCGTATGCTTACGGCTTGCTTACGTGTGCACAGACTGGTGTGTGTTATGGGTGCTCGCTAACAGCACTTGCCCCAACAGTCTGTTTAGGCTTTACGGGGGACCTTTGTCTTTGTGTGTTCGTACATACTGGTGTGTGTATGTATGTATAGACTGGTGTATGTGTACAGACTGGTGTGTTACAGGTTGTGTGTGTGTACAAACTGGTGTGTGTGTGTATGTACAGACTGGTGTATGTGTACAGACTGGTGTGCACACGTTGATGTTTGTTTACAGACTCGTGTGTTACAGGGATCTGTGTGTATGTACATACTAGTGTGTGTATGTATATACTGGTGTGTGTGTATGTACAGACTGGTGTGTGTGTTACAGGGATGTGTGTGTGTGTTACAGGGATGTGTGTGTATGCACAGACTGGTGTGTGTGTATGTACAGACTGGTGTGTGTGTGTGTTACAGGGATGTGTGTGTGTGTTACAGGGATGTGTGTGTGTTTGTTACAGGGATGTGTGTGTATGCACAGACTGGTGTGTGTGTATGTACAGACTGGTGTGTGTGTGTGTTACAGGGATGTGTGTGTGTTACAGGGATGTGTGTGTGTGTTACAGGGATGTGTGTGTGTCCGTTTGCTGTTTGAATGGAGAGCTCCCGTCTCCCGCCGTTGACTGCAGCCGACGCGGGTAGAGGCGGCACGCTGACACCCCCACCCACTCGGCAGCCTCCGATGCACCCACCGACCCCTACACTCAGACACCTACACTCAGACACCAACTCACCTGTACACTCATTGCCTGACTCAGCCACCCACCTACCCCTACACTCAGACACCAACTCACCTGTACACTCATTGCCTGACTCAGCCACCCACCTACCCCTACACTCAGACACCAACACACTCAGACACCAACTCACCTGTACACTCATTGCCTGACTCAGCCACCCACCCCTACACTTAGACACCAACACACCTGTACACTCATTGACTGATTTAGCCACCTACCCCTACCCTCAGACACCAACACACCTGTACACCCATTGCCTGACTCAGCCACCCACCCCTACACTCAGACACCCCTACACTCAGACACCAACACACCTGTACACTCATTGCCTGACTCAGCCACCCATCACACACCCATACACCAGCCCACCTGTACACTCATTGCCCGACTTAGCCACCTATCACACTAATTAACCTGTGCACTCACCCACTGATGAAGACACCCCATACGCTCACCCATACACAAACTCACCTGCACAAGACTCTGCCATGCATCCGCGCCACCCTCTGCTGGCCATAACGTGCAACAGTGTATGACTTGTGCGCTTTGCGTTTTCACCAGCGTGGTGAAGTATTGGCCAAATAAGCCGCACAGCATGGGAAGGCACGCATCCAGCAGTGGATTGGTAACACGGGCCGTGCGTGTCCATTCAACCACCAATGCACCGACCCACCCATACACTCACCGGCTGACTCACCCACTCGCTCACAACACTAACCCATTGACGTCTGCTGGCAGACTTTAACCAGCCATACACTCACCTGTCTGTACACCTGCGACACAGTTACGCATTGAACCGTTGACTCACCCTTCTACCGTAAAACTTACAGCCCCACCCGCAGACTCTCCTACGGAAAGTTTTGTCATTTTGTTATTTATAACCGGGATGAGTCTCATGTGCAAGTGTGACCTCATTGCTGCTGCTGTTGTGTGCGTGTGTAAATCCCAGTTAGCCGCTCGCTAACACCACTTGCCCCCCATACGTCAGTTCCGGCTATACGGGGGGTCTTTGTAATCTCAGTCGAGTAATTTGTACGAACATATTTTAGTATCGGCGCATTCGCCCATGCATTTAGAAATTAAAAAAGTGTTTCTATGCAGTCACCGACGATTGCCCACGATTTTGGGCTCGTAACACTTGCATTCACACAAGCCATACTGCGGGGCCAATTCGTCGTCGATTTGTCCAGGGTTAGAGCTTGTGTGTAAAATTTCACTTGCGGCGTGACGTGCCCTCCACCACGCGGCGATTCAAGTCGTCACGTGGTGGACAAAACGAGCCCCATTGATTTCGGTTTATTGAGCGAAAACCGGTAGCGTTGGGAAGCGAGCGGAATTCTTTGAAACCTTTTCTAAACGACATTTCGCTGGCGATGCGCACGCAGCCACCGTCGGGTTTTGAGCCAAGAGCTGAAATCTGGGGGGGGGGGAGGGAGTGATTGAAAAACTTGTGACCAGGTTTGGACCATAATGGAATTGTTACTTCGGCCTCCTGGGTCTCGTCCTGACGATGCTCGACGTAGCCACACACACGAGACGTCGTTGTATCCGATCACTACATTTTGTGAGAATTGTTCGTGAACTTCCCGGGGAGCTGGAACGATGAATGCTTAACTGGAGCGTTGTTTTAAACGCTTGTACAAAGTGCCGATTTGAGTTAGTTTTTTTTGCTTGCGTGGTGCGGTGGAGGATCGTGACGACACAACTTTGGTTAAAAAGAAAACCCGACACGTTAATCAATAGCGCTGCCTTGAAAAGAAGATAATGCGAGTATGCTGTGGCGTTTCAGGGCAAAGGCCCTTCTTCATAGCAGGCGGTCAAATGAGGCCAGATCGATACGTGGCGTCCTCCAAATATCTTTTGCGAGCAGTGGTGTCAGAATGGTGACCGCGTGGTTGATTCCACGTGCGCACGTGCACTGGCGGCGCTGGCTGGTGTGGTACTACGTGGACGTTGGTGGTGGTCTGTGGTCCCACCTGGGTGGCAGACGCCGGTAGGGCCTGGCTGAGAGGCGGTAGGCAGGAATCCGGGGACCGGGTCTTGCCACCGTCTCCCGTGCCGCCCTCCCCAGGACGCTGTTCACGCCTGCGAGCTCGCGTCTGTCGCTCTCTCGGGGTGGGATTAATTAAGAATAGAAACTTAACTACGTATTAGACTTTTTCTTTTTTTACCAGGCAAGGCCCACTGAGCTATATCGCTCTTTTTCAGAAGCGACCTGGCCACAAATGATACAGTAGTTCAGCGAAGTGGCTTATCGCGTGGACATTTATAGCAGCCATATTCTATAAGCGCGTGTTGATTCGAAACGTGGAGGGGAAAACCAGAAGACCTGGAGAAAAATCCACGCGACCACAGGGAGAACATGCAAACTTCAAATATATAGGCGTCAGGGTATGGATCAAATACACGACCTCCTGTATTCCAGGCGAGGTAATCGCTATTACTATGCAGTGGCTGTGAGTGTACGTCTATGGGTCTCTATGTATTCCTATCGGCCTCTATGCATCTCTATGTATCTCTATGGGTTTACTATGAGGTCCATAGTTTTGGTTGTATGTCTACACCACCCCCACGTGCGCCGTGCCGACTTTCACAGGTGCTACTCGCCAATGGCTCCTGCCCCAACAGTCGCTGTGTCTCTGTGTCTCTGTGTCCATGTCGCAGAGCCTGAGGCAGCTGGCGCGTGCGGGCGCCGGGTTCCGCTTGGGCGCCGGCCCCGCGCGGTCCACCCCCAAGGCGGGCCCCCGCATCAACTTTAACCCTTTCACGCCGGACTCGGTGGACGTGCTGCGGTCCTGCCTGCACAGGAGCCGCAAGAGGGAGTGAGTGGCTCGCAACGCACAGCTCTTCACATCCACCCCCCCAGGCCCCAGCTCCTCTGTCTGTTCGATTGTCTGTCTGTGTTTTGTGGGTTGACACTGCTGATACCAATGACCGGTAGTAGTGGTGTCAAGATCGGCCTCTGTGGAGGAGGAGGCTCGTGAAGGACGCTGCTGGGAAGTTGGAGGCAGTCGCCCTCCAGCAACAACGGAGGGCGGAGGAGCGACGCTCACAGCAGCGAGCGCAGCGCCGTGCGGCTAAAACGCAGCGAGGTGGCACAGTGGGGGGCACAGGTGGTGCATCAGCCGGTCATCTCACTCAGTCAAGCCATGGCAGCTGGGTCTGCTAGCGGGCATTGTACACTTCACGTGTGCAATCCGGGTTTGATTCCCACTCCTGGCCAACACCAGTGACGATTATCTGAACTGGTCCTGGGCCTCCCCTAGGTCGACTAAAATGAGTACCTGGCACGGTTGTGTAAAATATCGCCAATCGGGAGACAAAGGAAGCCGGGCGTGGTGCCGGCCACCCACTCCCTCGTGTGCCGTGCCGGCCTTGAGAGGTGCTCGCTAACAGCTCTTGCCCCAACGGTCTGTGAGGGCTACACGGGGGATCTTTGTCTTTGCGGGTTCGTCTTGTCTGTTTGTGGGTTTGTCTGTCCATCGGTCTATCTGTCCATATCGCCTGTCTGTGTGTGGGGTTGTTTGTCCACTTTACTGTAACCGCCTTCTCCTGGGAAGGGAGTTACACAGCCCATCTGTGCGGTGATCCACCAATCCTCGCTGCTGCTGCCCTCCACAGTGCTGCGTGGACACCAGCGCAATACCTTGAGATACAGACACCACAGAGCCCCCCGTACACAGAGCCCTCCCCCCTCCCACCCTTTGTGAGTCGCACCCGACTGCAGAAAGTCGATTCGGCTAATTTAGTTTTGTTGTCGAGTCAGCTTTAATTGATGAGGCCATGCAGCTGCTTCGTGCAGATTCCAACACCTGGCCGCCCTCTTCCTCACACTCGTGCCATTGCGGGCGGCGGGTGGGTGAATGGGTGGTATGTGGGTTGGTGAGTGTGTGGGGTCGGTGGGGATGGGTTTTGTGAGTGGGTGGGTGGGTGGTTGGGTTGGTGACTGTGTGTGGTCGGTAAAGATGGGTTTGGTGAGTGGGTGGGTGGGTTGGTGAGTGTGGGGTCCGTTGGGATGGGTTTGGGTTGGTGAGTGGGTGATGGGTGGTTTGGCGAGTGGGCGAGTGGGTTTGTGGGTGGGATAGTTGTAGTTTGATGAGTATGTGGGGTGGGTGTCGATGGGTTTTGGTAGGCGAGTGGGTTGTGGTAAGTGGTTGGGTGAGTGTGTGGGTGTATTAGAATGGATGTAGATTGATTAGTGGGTGGGATCGATTGTGGTTGTGAATTGGTGAGTGGGTGGGTATAGGAAATATATGGCCTTGCGGGTGGGTGTGTAGGTGAGTTGACTGAGTAGGAGACCTTGGCCAATTATAATCGTAATTTCGCGTATGATTCTACAGCGAATTGCAATGACAATGTTGCTTGTAATTTGAGCAAAACATTTGCTACAACCGTACTTATAATTGACCGCGGGTCTGTATGTGAAGGACGTGACTGGTGTACGCGGTGGGTTTGAGTGGGTGGGTCGGTGGGTGGGTGTTTGTGTGTTGGCAGGGGGGTGGGTGGCTACTGCCAGGCGCTGGCAGCTGTCACATGTCGCACCCCTGCACCGCATGTCGCACGTCCTGGCTAATCGCTAACATGTGGCCTCCGACCCCTTGCTGCAGGGCAGGGCACGGGCCTTCAAATGAGCTCCCGGGCATGCAAGGGCAGCACATTTCGCTTTGTTTGCCCGCGACCGTTTATTGATCCCGCTAACGTGGACTAACAACTCTGGTCCTCGCTGACGGCCTTTGAACCGGACTTGGTTTGCGGGTCACCGGTTCAATTCCTCGCCCCCCAACGAGGGGGGGGGGTCAAGGGGGTCAAGGTTGGGCCGTGTTTCCGTGCAGGCTCCGCGTGTGTAAGAAGTGAAGCGTCGGAGCCTTCCCACACGGATGAGAAATAGGAAACCAAAAAATTCGAGCTTAAAACGCCGTTCGATTTTTTTTTTTTCTCCCAAATCCCATCGCAGTTGAGCTCTCGGCGTCGTGTCTCCTTTTTGCGGTGTAACGCGCCCCGCCGGCGTTTACCGGGGCGGCCTGCCGGGGGTTCGAACCGCGGAACTCCTGCAGCTGGCGCTCCCCGTTGAGACTGTTGCGCCCGCGGCGTACCGTGCGCGCCCCCCGTACCGCCTGCACCCCCTCTTCTCCCCACCTCGTTTGCGCCCCGCGTCACGGTCCCTCTCCCACTGTACCGTCCGCAGGAGCGATGACGACCGGATGGACAGAACGTCACAAGACGAGTGCCCGAATCCACCCAAGGTAACCGATGAATGGAACTCTTGCGGGCCGACAACCCGAACCTAGATTGCATTCATAATACAGGTGTTTTTTTGGGTTGGATCACGTAAATATGTAAATGTGTCGTGAAAGCCACCACCACCCGACACAGCCAATTAGGAAGGTTTGTCACGTAAGCAGAACGTGCCAATTCGTTACGAGTACAGCACTAGTGTATAGTGTAGTGAATAATAGTGTAGTGTATAGTGTAGTATACTAGTACAGCACACCGGTGTGTTGGAGGGCCAAGCCACAACATCTATAATCGGAGTACGACGTTTCGCCAGTCATTATAACCAGGCATCATCAGGCGGACAGCCAGATTTGTGGAGAAGTCAATCTGTGTCGGGTGGTGGAGGCTTTAACGACACATTTATATATTCACTCGATCTAACCTAACAAACCTGTATTATGAATATTGGTAGAGAAAGCCTGCTGTTTAACGAGATTGCATTATTTTCTGCGGCGGAACAGGAAGTTGATTCGTAAACCGATTTTGACCTGGTTTTGCCTTGTAACTGAGCATGTATCTCTCTTGATGCCTTTATCATCATCATCATCGTGGTCTTTCTACTGCTGGATGAAGAACAACGTGACGTTTCTAAGCCTGCGTTGGTTTTCTGACGCACGCGTTTTAAATTCCGCTCGTGCGTCTCCACCACCGCACTTCGCCGCCTATTTAGGTTTTGTTCCATTTTCTATTTTACTGAATTACTTTTCGTGATTTGCTTGACTTCTCTATACTTTGCACTCGTATCGTGTTGTTTTGTTTGGCCCGCCCATACTGCATCGCGTGCTTTCAGATGCGCTTCTGCGGCCGTCTGTAACCCGCCCCCCCTTCTCGTATTAGGAATCCACTGCATTTTAAATCATCTAGATTGAAAAACCAATTTCTGTACAACTGCTTTTTGTCTTTTGTTCGTTGTCCTTCCCCCGCTGCCGCGCGTGTGCAGCGCATGATGAGCATGCGGGAGGCGGAGATGATGTCGCGCTTCTCCACCGAGTTCCACGAGCTGGGCGCGCTGGGACACGGCCACTTTGGCTCCGTGTCGCGCTGCGTCAAGCGCCTCGACGGCTGCGTCTACGCGGTCAAGCGATCGCGTCGGCCCGTCGCACGCTCTGCCGACGAGTAAGAGGCCCTTCGCTCGATCGCCCACGCGCTCACTCGCTCGCCCACACGCTCGCCCACACGCTCGCCCACACGCTCGCCCACACGCTCGCTCGCCCACACGCTCGCTCGCCCACACGCTGGCCCATACGCTCATTCGCTAGCTCGCCCATTCGCTCGATCGCCCACGCGCTCACTCGCTCGCCCACATGCTCGCCCATTCGCTCGATCGCCCACACGCTCACTCGCTCGCCCACATGCTCGCCCACACGCTCATTCGCTAGCTCGCCCATTCGCTCGATCGCTCACTCGCTCGCCCACACGCTCGCCCACACGCTCATTCGCTCGCTCGCCCATTCGCTCGATCGCCCACGCGCTCACTCGCTCGCCCACACGCTCATTTGCTAGCTCGCTCATTCGCTCGATCGCCCACGCGCTCATTTGCTTGCCCACATGCTCGTCCACACGCTCATTCGCTCGCTCCCCCGTCCACCCAGTCGCTCAGATGCCCACATGCTCGCTCACCCGTTCTCTCATCTGCCGTTCGCTCACTCGGTGAAGGTGTTGATCATGGTGGTGATTCTGGTGGCAGTGATGATGTTGGAGTGGTCCTGACTGGAACGGTGGTTGTGGTGGTGGTGCAGGCAGAGTGCGCTACGTGAGGTGTGCGCCCACGCGGTGCTGGGGCAGCACCCCCACGTGGTCCAGTACTACTCGGCCTGGGCCGAGGAAGACCACATGTACATCCAGAACGAGTACTGCAGCGGTACGCACACACACCACGCTTCCCGCTCGTACCACACGTACTACACGCACCGCACGTACCACACGTACCACACGTACCACGCATACCACACACACCGCACGTACCACGCGTACCACACGCACTGCACGTACCACACGTACCACGCATACCACACACACCGCACGTACCACGCGTACCACACGCACTGCACGTACCACACGTACCACGCATACCACACACACCGCACGTATCACACGTACCTCACGTACCTCACGTACCACACGCACCGCACGTACCGCACGTACCGCACGTACCACAGGTGTGGCACCTCCGATTAGCACGGTTGGCTATGTTGGTGCCATAGACGTTCTACAAGCATACGCATGCACACACACACACCACGCGTACATCCAGAACGAGTACTGCAGCGGTTTGCACGCACGCGCGTATCACACATACCTCACATACCACGCTTACACACGCGCTCGCACCACATGTAAGCACGCACACGTACGTACACTCCACATCCAGAATGAGCACCGCAGCGATGTTTTTCTGCACCAACGCCAGTGAAGATTATCTGAACCGGTCCTGGGCCTCCCCTAAGTCGACTCGGCCTCAAATGAGTACCTGGCGCGTCGTGTAAACATCGCCACTGGGGAGGCAAAGGCGGCCGGGAGTGCCGTGCCGTCCGTCATAGGTGCTGCTACTCACTGACAGCACTTGCCCCAACAGTATGTTGAGGCTATACGGGGTGGGGGGGGGATCTTTGTCTTTACTTACACGTGTGCGCGTTCCGCATGTAGGTGGGAGCGTGACGGACGCCCTGCTGCGCTCCCCGGGCCACGCGTTCCCCGAGTGGCGAGTGCGGCGGATGCTGCTGCACGTGGCGCGGGGTCTGCGCTACATCCACAGTCTGGGCCTCGTGCACATGGACATCAAGCCCAGTGAGCCCAGCCGCCCACCCCCTGAGTGGCGCCTCCACGCCCTGCCACCTCGTCAGCTAGCCACTTACCCACCCAGCCAGTCAGGCACTTGCCCAGCCAGTCAGCCACCCACCCAGTCAACCAGCCAGCCACCTATCTGCCCACTCACCCAGCCAGCCATCCACCCACCACCGACTGATCCACCCATCCATCCATCCACCAACCACCCAATCAGTCAGCCACCCAGCCAACCACCCACACAGAGTCACAGTCGCACCGTGGGATGGTAGAATGCCGCATCTGCAGCGTGATGCTCATGATTACTCAACAATGGGGGAGCTTAGCTCGAGATGAGTTTGACCGGAGCGTTTCTCTGTACACCCCCCACTCCGTGCGGCGCCAGGTAACATCTTCATCGCCCAGAGGACGCTGTCGTCCGAGCTGGAGGAGGGGGAGCCGCAGAGCGACGCGGGGAGCGTGGGAGAGTCTCGAGACGTCTACAAGATCGGTGGGGACACGCACACGTGGACACACAGACAAAGACAAAGACCCCCCGTGTCGCCTGAATGGAGACCGTCGGGGCAAGTGATGTTAGCGAGCACCTACGAAGGCCGGAACTACACACTGAGGGGGTGGGTGGCCCGCAGCCATTCCCGGCCGCCTTTGTCTCCCCAGTGGCGATGTTTACACTCCCCACCAGGTACTCATTTGAGGCTGAGTCGACCTAGGGGGAGGTCCGTAAGCAGTTTCTATATTCCTCACCCGACTTTGGTCGCGAGCGGAAATCAAACTCTGGTCACGGGGGGGGGGGGGGGGGGGGGAGGGTGCGTCGCGACACGCGACACCCAGCCTGAGTGACGTCACCACCGGGAGGGACCACGTCGTCGCCGCCGCTGTTGTCATCACCGAACGTCCATCATCGCCGTGTCTCCCTCCTTCCTCCGCCACCACCCCCCCCCACCACCCCCCTATCAGGTGACCTGGGTCACGTGACGCGGGTGAACAGCCGCCACGTGGAGGAGGGCGACTCGCGGTTCCTGGCGCTGGAGGTGCTGCAGCCGGTGAGCGCACGGACGATTCGATTCGACGGACTTGTCACCTGCCGTATATCCGCAACTCCGATGAGCACGGTTGGCTGCGTACGGTGCGAAAAAAAATTGACGTACGTGCATACATCTTAGCCATCCTCTCACGAGCCGCCACCCCTCCCTCCTTACCCCGAGCAGGACTACTCTGCGTCGCCGCAGGCGGACGTGTTCGCGCTGGCGCTCAGCGCGGTGGTGGCCGCCGGCGGAGGTCCCCTGCCCCGGAACGACGTCGCCTGGAACCGGATCCGGCAGGGGTGGCTGCCGGAGGGGGCGGCCGTGGCGTCCCTGTCGCTGGAGCTGCGCACCCTCCTCACGGTGAGAGGGCGAGCGAGAGAGAAGCAACGCGCGGCAGAGGTCGCAACCGGGTACCCGATACCCGTACCCTACTCGATACCCGGCTACCCCTACCCGGCCGGGTACGGGTACCCGTTTGCGACCCTCGTGCGGCCGGGTACGGATAAGGAATCAAAACCCGTTTGCGACCTCTGACGCGCGGGCGCGGAGACAAAGATCCCTCCGCGTGGCCTTCAGCGGAACGTTGGGGCGAGCGCGGTGTGGATTTTGATCAGTTGTGTCCGGTTGACCGAGCGCCACGCACGCTCGCACCGGGTGTCAATTTTAAAGCCGTGTACCGTCTCGCCCACTGTGCCCCCCCCCCCCCCCCCGTGTACCCCCCCACCCACGCAGGCCATGGTGAGACCCACGGCGGGGGAGCGGCCCTCCACGGGGGAGCTGTGCTGCCACCCGGCGCTGTGCGGCGCCGCGGTTTGCAGCGTGCGGTCGCTGCGCCGCGCACTGTCGTGCGAGCGCCTCAAGAACGCGCACCTGCGCAGGTGAGGGAGACGAAGGATTTGTACGCCCACGCTTCTTCCCCTGGCCGGCGTACTCTCTCCACTATTTTCTCGCGCTCTCTCTTCTCCCGCTCTCCCTTTCTCGTTCTCTCTCTCTCTCTCTAGTGCAGAGGTCGGCAACCTGCGGCTCCGGTGCCGCCATGCGGCTCTTGTTTGTCAAGGACTGCTCGTCTCGTATTGACGTGCATCGCGGCTCTTGAAATGTATATGGTGTGGACCAATCCGTTTCAGAGACACGGCACATACTGTCAGAGCATGTTTTTTGTTTGTTTGCATGTTCACCACAAGTATATGTGGTTAATGCAGACATGATTCCTTGCAAAGGTTTCAGTTTGGTGTTTTAACATCTTAACACACCTGTTTATTGCCAGAAAGGGGAAAAACCCTATTATCATTATATATTAGATTTGAAGAAAAAATAGTCTCTTGTTATTTTGGCCACCGGGCCCTGCTCGCTGCAGTCCCCTGGCTCGTCCGTGAACTCCCCGGCGGTTCGGCGCCTGCATCCAAGCACAGGCAAAGATTCCCCAGCCCTCCTCGTTGTAGCCTCTGCGGAGCAAGTGCTGTTAGCGAGCACCCTACGACCGCGAAGGACGCCACGGCGCACGAGGGGAAGGCGTGGACATTGTCGGCAGCCTTTGTCTCCCCGCCGCTCACGTGTTTGTTTGCACGTCGCGCCGGCGGGCGCTCATTTAGGGCCGATCCGACCCCAGTGCCGGCTTGCAGGTTTTTTATTTTTGTTGCTGCTGCCACCGATGGTAGCCGTGAGCGGGAATGGAACTCGGGTCGCCGGGTTCGCGACGCGGTACTTGGCGCACTGCCCAGCGCGCACCTGTGCTCTCTCTATCTCTCTTCGCCATCCGTCAGAGTCAAAAGCGATTTGCCGCTCAGATGGGCGTTGACGCAGAGCTCCTCCCCAGTGGTGGAAACGTTCATTTGACGGCAGGATGGGGGCGGTGGGGGGGCGAGTCTCGCCATAGGCCAACCGCTGTTGATTTTGATGCAGATTGATGATGATGATGATGATGGGCCCAGTCAAACCCCAACCAGGATTTGAATTTTAAATCCTTGCGATTACAAGGCGCTTGCTCTGCCGGCCGCTGAGCGAGCCCCCAACATCGGTCTGTGAATGATGTCTCCATTGACTAACCGTCTCTCCCACCACTTCTCTCTCTTTATTTCTTTCTCTCTCAGAGAGCTGCAGTTGCTGATGTCCAAGGAACGTTGCCCCAGCGACCGTAAGGGAGTCGCGGGCAGATTACGCCGTTCGAGCAGCCTGACTCCCTGACACTCGTCCACGTGTTCCAGCAGACGGGAAGTGACGGAGACACGGATTCTGGCACCGTGGAGATCGTGGGTTCGGAGGCGTTTTTTTACGTGTAATATGTCTTGATAAATATGTACATAATGTGTTCTTTTTCAACAATTGAGAGTACCTAGCAGATGTCGTCGAATTCCACACAACAGATAAGTAGACCGCACGACAGCTTTTAGAATCGTTAGTGCGCACGCGCGCAGTCTCCGATCGCGCGCAGATCAATCGGCGTGCGTGTGTAATGTTCCGTTCGGGAGATGTTTTTAGTTGATGTTTTAATTTATTTAATCTGGCTTAGCCTGAAAGTCTGGCCTCGAGTTTTGTTTTACTTTGGTACTGTTGTCACCGTGAGAGCCCGTTTTCCCGACGTAATGTGAGTCTGCTCACCTGACGGAGGTGTGTAAATAGGTCTCCTTTTGACCTCCTGAAACACTGAGCACACAATTGCACAGTGAGAGAGAAGTTTGGTTTTAGATTCTGGAAAGAGTTGTGCCTTCGTATATATGTGAGAATCAATTCCCGAGGTGCCTTCATTCGGCAAGGGCTGGTGGTGTGGCGTGTTTTATGCTTTTTTAACCCAGGGTTGAAAGTGTTAATGCCTCTGTCTGTAGCAGCTGAGGTTGGGGGGGGGGGGTAGGGTTATGATAATTCCCGTAACGTTGATTTATATCAATGAAAAATATTTTGTTGTAACGTTTGCATTGCTGTTCCGGGGGGAACTTGTCCCGAGATAAAACCGGCCATGTTGATCAAGGCAAGGCCGCTATTCAAGTCCCGGTGGGTCATCTCCCGCAAACTGAAATTTGCGTGGTTGGCTACGTACGGTGGGAAAGAAATTTAATGTACATACATCGCGGCCTACCGCTTTCCATGAGCCTGCCACGAGCGCTGTCGTTATTATTACCGTTGGACTTGCGTTGGAAAGGGTCGCAGAATCTATGCGTACCCCTGGTTGTTATTGCCAAACTCGTGAGAAGGCCCGGTGCGTTTTAATAACGCCACCAAACCTTTTGAAGCGAAGTTTGCATTTTGATTTTGTGTTTTTTTTGTAATGTAATTTGTGGAACTCTCTCCCGAAAAATGTGAATTCCACAGGGGGTGGTTTAGGTGAGAGGCTAACCAACAGCTGACGTCAGTGTAGGGTTTGCCCGCGGTGTTGAACAGTGCGATTTATAATAATGTCCTGTCTCGCATTTTCCAAACTAAATTCGTATCGCGATTATCGTCGACGCGGCGCTGACCGTATATGCCGCTGGGCGGGTTTCGACGCCGGCGGCCGCCCTGGTTAAAACTCCTGGCGAGGTACCCGCTGCTGCAACGGCCGTCAACATACGCGCCGTCCGACTCGCGGTGAGCGTTTAAAAGGTCCCGTGGCATTGTTCGCAAAAAGAGATGGCCATCTGTGCGTCCGGCGACGCGGCACGCGTTTGGAAAATTGGCACCGCAAATTACTCGGGTGGTGGGGGGGGAGGAACCGCGTAGAGACATCGCCCACCCCTATTGCAGAGACTTTCCTCGGTAGGTAAGTCTCGTCGCTCAAATTTACTTTGTCGTGAAGATTACGGAATTGTAAAGTTGCAGTGATTTAGTTAAGTGACCATCCTCACTGGAGGTCCGGCAAAACGCAAATGCGATGGACATTGTGAAGCACAGTGACAAAGCTGCGGGGAGATTTGACGTCACGATCATCTTCACGCCATCAATCGTTTTGTAGCCTTGAGCTTAGTTTTTTATTGTGTCTTTAAGAGCGACGCGCGCGACGTTTTGCCAAACGGGTGCTGGTGATTGCAATGACAATCGTCTGAAAGGAGTCTTGCGTTGCATTGGTGTCGTTTGTTTGCTCGCGTTTTCTGCCGTAGCCTCGCTTTGTTATTTATTACTTGGCCCTTGTGGCCTTGAGCTGTTATTTAACGAACGGTGTTGTGTTGAGGTTGTGCACTGCGCAGTTTATTTTCGCCCCCTCACCGCGCTCCGCGGGAAGTTGGGTCTCGTTGCCGGATTGCCAACGGCGGCCGCTGCCGAGGGAGGTGACGAAACGGTGCCGCACGGCTTCGGTCGCTGTGGTGCTCGTCACACGCTGCGTCATTGGCACCGCGGTGACTATGAGATGTTAACTGCCTCGCCTGGTATGGAGGAGGTGGGGTGGGTTCGATCCCGACCCTGACACCTGCTGCATATTTGGAGTTTGCTGTGTCTCCCTTCCCATGGTCGCGTGGACTTTTCTCCAGTTCCTCTGGTTTTTGCTTTCGTATTTAGAATTTTCACGTGTTGTTGAACTATCACATGTGGCAAGGTTGCTTCTGAAAAAGAGCTGCGTCGCTCAGTGGGCCTTACCTGGTGAAATAAAAATAGTTTAGTTTAACGAGTAAAATGAATTTCCTACTCAAATGAGCGTGAAGGCATTGGTGCACGTGTAGCGTTTACAGCCCTGCAGAGCCAGCGGTGGGAATTCTACATTCCTGGTTCGCCCGGTTCTGCAATTGGTCGATCGGCAAGTCGCATGCGGTGGGTTAAAGTGTGGGTAATCCCCACATCTTCTTCCAAGGCAATCTGGCCAACGTTGAAGCGTAGGCCAAGATAAGCTCTCGATGGGCTCTCCTTTAACTAGTGAGGGGCTGTACCTAGCTAGCGCTGTGCCTTTAGCTAACTAGTGCTGCAAAAAAAGTACCGTTCGGGACTTCAAATGCTGATGATGGTGATGATGATTTTGAATGCGTTTGAAATGGGCACGGTATGAATCGAAGCCCGTGACGTTTTGCAACTGATCTGCAAGTGACTTTGAAGTTTACGCCGTTCTCCTGCAATGTGCCTTGACGAAGCGGAGGCAAGAAAATTCTTGAAAGGGTTGTTTGACGCCCGGTCTGCAGACGTCAAAGCCACGTGGCCTTAAGTGCAAGTTGTACGGCGTTCAGATTTAGACGTTTTTGAATGTGGACTCAAAGAGACCCTGTCCCTTTCGCGAGCTGCCGATCAAAGTCGATGTTGTTTTGGTCTGTTGTTTTTCTTGTGGACGTATTTACAATAAATCATCTTATTACAGTTGTGTCTTGTTTGTGTAAAGACGACTTCAACGCACTTCTCTTGAGATGGGTTCTTTATTTAAGGAGTCACGTGCTCACCCCCGAACCGGCGAAGACCCCACTGCAACAGCCTCGAGTCTCCCACGCATCTCCCTTTTATATGCAGTCTGAGGCCATACCCCCATTCCCAAGCCTTCTTGCTTGTTCGAGACCGCTCGCTCTACCAGCAGACTCCACCGTCCTCTTCCGTCACCTGGCCACGCTCCTATTCTCGATCATTCCCATAGCCACCAGTCCATTCGCACTGCAGGCCGACTCCCCTGGCATTACCTCCCATGGCCACTAGTCCCTTCGCACTGCAGGCTGACTCCCCTAGCATTACCTCCCATGGCCACTAGTCCATTCGCACTGCAGGCTGACTCCCCTGGCATTACCTCCCATGGCCACTAGTCCATTCGCACTGCAGGCTGACTCCCCTGGCATTACCTCCCGTGGCCACCAGTCCACTCACACTGCAGGCTGACTCCCCTGTCATTACCTCCCGTGGCCACCAGTCCACTCGCACTGCAGGCTGACTCCCCTGGCATTACTTCCCGTGGCCACTAGTCCATTCACACTGCAGGCTGGCTCCCCTGTCATTACCTCCCGTGGCCACTAGTCCATTCGCACTGCAGGCTGACTCCCCTGTCATTACCTCCCGTGGCCACTAGTCCACTCACACTGCAGGCTGACTCCCCTGGCATTACTTCCCGTGGCCACTAGTCCACTCGCACTGCAGGCTGACTCCTCTGGCATTACCTCCCGTGACCACTAGTCCATTCGCACTGCAGGCTGACTCCTGGCATTACCTCCCGTGGCCACTAGTCCATTTGCACTGCAGGCTGACTCCCCTGGCATTACTTCCTGTGGCCACTAGTCCACTCACACTGCAGGCTGACTCCTCTGGCATTACCTCCCATGGCCACCAGTCCACTCACACTGCAGGCTGACTTCCCTGGCATTACCTCCCGTGGCCACTAGTCTACTCACACTGCAGGCTGACTCCCCTGGCATTACTTCCCGTGGCCACTAGTCTATTCGCACTGCAGGCTGACTCCCCTGGCATTACCTCCCGTGGCCACTAGTCTACTCACTGCAGGCTGACTTCCCTGGCATTACCTCCCGTGGCCACCAGTCTACTCACACTGCAGGCTGACTTCCCTGGCATTACCTCCCGTGGCCACTAGTCCACTCACACTGCAGGCTGACTCCCCTGGCATTACTTCCCGTGGCCACTAGTCTATTCGCACTGCACGCTGACTCCCCTGGCATTACCTCCCGTGGCCACTAGTCCACTCACACTGCAGGCTGACTCCCCTGTCATTACCTCCCGTGGCCACCAGTCCACTCACACTGCAGGCTGACTCCCCTGGCATTACCTCCCGTGGCCACTAGTCCACTCACACTGCAGGCTGACTCCCCTGTCATTACTTCCCGTGGCCACTAGTCCACTCACACTGCAGGCTTACTCCCCTGGCATTACCTCCCGTGGCCACCAGTCCACTCACAATGCAGGCTGACTCCCCTGGCATTACCTCCCGTGGCCACTAGTCCACTCACACTGCAGGCTGACTCCCCTGGCATTACTTCCCGTGGCCACTAGTCCACTCACACTGCAGGCTGACTCCCCCTGTCATTACCTCCCGTGGCCACTAGTCCACTCACAATGCAGGCTGACTCCCCTGTCATTACCTCCCGGGGCCACTAGTCTATTCGCACTGCAGGCTGACTCCCCTGGCATTACCTCCCGTGGCCACTAGTCTACTCACTGCAGGCTGACTTCCCTGGCATTACCTCCCGTGGCCACCAGTCTACTCACACTGCAGGCTGACTTCCCTGGCATTACCTCCCGTGGCCACTAGTCCACTCACACTGCAGGCTGACTCCCCTGGCATTACTTCCCGTGGCCACTAGTCTATTCGCACTGCACGCTGACTCCCCTGGCATTACCTCCCGTGGCCACTAGTCCACTCACACTGCAGGCTGACTCCCCTGTCATTACCTCCCGTGGCCACCAGTCCACTCACACTGCAGGCTGACTCCCCTGGCATTACCTCCCGTGGCCACTAGTCCACTCACACTGCAGGCTGACTCCCCTGTCATTACTTCCCGTGGCCACTAGTCCACTCACACTGCAGGCTTACTCCCCTGGCATTACCTCCCGTGGCCATCAGTCCACTCACAATGCAGGCTGACTCCCCTGGCATTACCTCCCGTGGCCACTAGTCCACTCACACTGCAGGCTGACTCCCCTGGCATTACTTCCCGTGGCCACTAGTCCACTCACACTGCAGGCTGACTCCCCCTGTCATTACCTCCCGTGGCCACTAGTCCACTCACAATGCAGGCTGACTCCCCTGTCATTACCTCCCGGGGCCACTAGTCCACTCGCACTGCAGGCTGACTCCACTGTCATTACTTCCCGTGGCCACTAGTCCACTCACACTGCAGGCTGACTCCCCTGTCATTACCTCCCGTGTCCACTAGTCCACTCGCACTGCAGGCTGACTCCACTGTCATTACCTCCCGTGGCCACTAGTCCACTCACATTGCAGGCTGACTTCCCCTGTCATTACCTCCCGGGGCCACTAGTCTATTCACACTGCAGGCTGACTCCCCTGTCATTACTTCCCGTGGCCACTAGTCCACTCACACTGCAGGCTGACTCCCCTGTCATTACCTCCCGTGGCCACCAGTCTACTGACACTGCAGGCTGACTCCCCTGGCATTACTTCCCGTGGCCACTAGTCCACTCACACTGCAGGCTGACTCCCCTGTCATTACCTCCCGTGGCCACTAGTCCATTCGCACTGCAGGCTGACTCCACTGGCATTACCTCCCGTGGCCACTAGTCCATTCGCACTGCAGGCTGACTCCCCTGGCATTACTTCCCGTGGCCACTAGTCCACTCGCACTGCAGGCTGACTCCCCTGTCATTACCTCCCGTGGCCACTAGTCCATTCGCACTGCAGGCTGACTCCACTGTCATTACTTCCCGTGGCCACTAGTCCACTCGCACTGCAGGCTGACTCCCCTGGCATTACTTCCCGTGGCCACTAGTCCACTCACACTGCAGGCTGACTCCCCTGTCATTACCTCCCGTGGCCACCAGTCTACTGACACTGCAGGCTGACTCCCCTGGCATTACTTCCCGTGGCCACTAGTCCACTCACACTGCAGGCTGACTCCCCTGGCATTACTTCCCGTGGCCACTAGTCCACTCACACCGGAGGTGCAGTGTGCACCCCAAGTGAAGAAGAAGTAGAACCGCTGGTCTCCTGCTCTCTACGAACTCCTCGTTATCCTCCAGCCTCAACATCATCAAGGACTGATACTCGACACGTTGCACAAGTCTCCCTGTGAGACGCGCACACGACGCTGACAATCCACTTCGTTGAGCTGTCGTTAGTGATCGACAGGTCGCTCCTGTAAAATAATCTAATTGCTCGAGAGTGGGCTTTGCCGGGAATAGTTACAAGAGCTTTGTAGCTCATCGCATTCATCCTGCAGTGTCAATATATTTTATGATATTTGTTAAAGGAGATCGCATTACATCATTGGACGTTATTGCATCACAGCATGACGACATTGTATTACAGCATGACATCATTCCATTACAGCATGACAGCTGCATTACAGCATGCCATCATTGCATCACAGCATGACATCATTACAGCATGACATCATTGCATTACAGCTTGACATTGCATTATAGAATTAAATTATTGAATCACATTATTACGTCACTGCATTACTGCTTGGCATTGCATTACAGCGTGACGTCATTGCATTGCAGCTAACATTGCATTACAGAACTGCATCACGGCATGACGTCATTACATCGCAGCCATGACATTTTATCGCAGAATGACATCATTCCCACACACCATGACGTCATCGCATCGCAGCATGTGCATCGTATTGCGTGACGTCATTGCGGGTGGCGGGAACTCACGTCGAGACCACGTGGTTTGTGGTGGGGGGTGGGGTTGTCCCCACAACCCACGTGGCCTCCTTGAACCCAGTACAGTGGCTGTCAGGGCTGCAGTAGTTCACGTCTCCCGCTCTTCGTGCTGCCAGCTCGCTGATCGTGACCACAGTCACGGGCTCCAGAGGCGTCGGGCGTGACCACGATGGCCGAGGGAGGAGGTGACCCGGGCCGACCCAGCCGCATTAGCGACCTCCCGGGGCTGCTGAGGCTCGCGGTGGAGGCGGGGAGCGAGGAGGATGCGGCGCCGGGCCCGCAGGGTCCCCTGCCGATGTCCATTGAGGTACGGACTTAGCCGGGTCTTCCCCGGCCTTCCTCGGGCGTTCCCCCGGCCTTCCCTCGGGCCTCCCCCGGCATTCCTCAGGCCTCCCCCGGCCTTTCCCGGCCTTCCCTGATCTCTCCTGGCCTTCCCTGATGTTTACAGTAATGTCTAGGCCTTCCCCGGTCACTCCGGCCCTTCCCTAATAACGGCCTTCTCTTGTATGATCTTATCTCCCCGGGATTTTCCTCGTATTCTAACGCACTCTTTGGCATTCTCCGGTCTCTTCTGCCCGTCTCTCGTGGCCTTCCCCGATGTCATTTCCCGTCATTCGCCGGCCTTCTCCGGCTTTCTCGAACGTTCCCCAATGCCCCTCCCCCCAAAGCCTTCATGGCCTTCCTGTCACCCGCCCGTGCCGTTCATTCCTCCGTCGTTCAGAACGTCGCAGACTTTTCTTGAAATGCCACGGGCTTCCACGACCTTCTTTGAAATTCTGCAGCCTTCTTTGGCATTCCGTGGGGTTCCCCGGCCTTCTCGGCCCTTACTAATAATGCAACGCGACTGAACTGACATTTGTCCACACGTGTTGGGATACAGACTGTGTCGTCTCATCAACCACACTCTGTTCAACCACCCACACAGCACTCACCCACCCACTTAACCACTCGTTCACTCACTCATCCACTGATCCAGCCACTCACCCACCCACTCATTCATCCACTCACTCACCCACCCACTCATTCACTCACTCACCCAACCACTCATTCATTCAGTCACTCACCCACCCACTCACTCACCGACCTACTCACTCACTCATTACCCACCCACTCATGTATCCACTCACCCACCCACCTACTCATTCACTCAACTCACTCACCCACTCATTCACTCACCCACCCACTCATTCACTCACCCACCCACCACTCATTCACTCACCCACTCATTCACTCACCCACTCATTCACTCACCCACTCATTCACTCACCCACCCACTCATTCACTCACCCACCCACCACTCATTCACTCACCCACTCATTCACTCACCCACTCATTCACTCACCCACCAACTCATTAACTCACCCACTCACCCATTCACTCACCCACCCACTCATTCACCCACCCACTCATTCACTCACTCACCCACTCATTAACTCACCCACTCATTCACTCATTCACTAACCCACCCATTCATCCATTCACTCATTCACCCACCCACCCATCCACTCACCCACTTATTGACACATGCTCTCACCCCTCTCGACTACTAGTTGGTAGTGTACCATGGGTACCGGTTCCAATAAAGTTCACGCGCCGACTCGGTCTTACAGACACTCATTGTGTTGCGTCTCCACAACCATACTGTTCGACAAACTGCAAGTCACAACAACAACAACAACACACTCATTCACTCACCAACTCACCCACCCACCCCAACCAATGACTCACCCACCCACTCACCCCCACTGCAGCTTCTCCCCCTCGTCCCGTTACCCGAGCTCGTACGATAATAACCGCGTGTGAACTCTCTATTACACCTTCAGCAGTGCTGTTTGTTCCTGGCCTCTTGGCGTTTTGAGCCTCCGGTGTTCATCAGTTGTGAGCTCAAAAAACGAATGATAAGTTTCCCTTGACGTTTCAGGACCGAGCTTCCCCGCTGGGTCTTCTGATTTTCTCCGACCCCCTATGAGTCACTTATAGAATGTGCATTCAGCTTCTCAAACCTTCCAGACGTTTCGTAACGACACCCTTAACCACAACGTGCACGTCGGGAGTCGCGGAGAATCTGGTTACGGTTATTGTTGTAGGTCTATTGTGAACTTGGGGCGTCTGATAGACCTAATTGAATTGGCTGACCCGTGTGTGATAGGTAAAGAAGGGACATTGCACGAAACGTCGTCTTTTAAATTTTAATTGTTTTCTATAAAGGCGACAGTGTTATCGACGCGTGTGATGGGCAGGTAATGGCAAAGGCGCCAGTCCTTTAACTGCTTGCTCAAGCCACTGCTAACAGAAGGGCCTTTGAATAATAAGGCACTGTTAATCTATATAAGATGAGAGGCAGCTTTAGACAGCCGTTCTAGAGAGTACAGCAGAGGTCGCAAACGGGTTTTGATTCCTTACCCGTACCCGTACCCGGCCGCACCAGGGTCGCAATCGGGTACCCGTACCCTACCCGATACCCGGCTACCCGTACCCGGCCGGGTGTCAGGTAGGGTACGGGTATCGGGTACCCGATTGCGACCTCTGGGATGAAGTCATGTTACAGGCGCGGGTTGGTTGATTCTAGGAACTTGAAGTGTGAGAAGAGACAAGACGTTGGGAAATGAGTGACAAACGGTTACTCACCAGTGACTCACGGCCTACCCGTACCCGGCCGCACCAGGGTCGCAAACGGGTACCCGTACCCGGCCGGGTACGGGTAGCCGGGTATCACCTAGGGTACGGGTATCGGGTACCCGATTACGACCTCTGGAGTACAGTTATGGTCTAGACATCCCGTGAAATACTGGACATCTTTGAAAAAAGCTTTCTAGCTCATCGGATTCCTCCAGTATAAATAAAAATTCCGATTTTGAAAGGGGTGTGAGTACCCACACTTTGCCCCCACCACGTGGGATGTGCCACGATCGACTGATGGGGGATAAAAGCGAAGTGGGGGGATGTGGGGGCAGTGCCGGATTATCCCAGTAGAAAAAGTAGCTACAAATGTAGTAGCTACTACATATGCAAGTCGTAGCTACGGGCCCCGCACTTTCAAAGAGCCCCGCGCTAAATGCTTTCAAGCTATCAATTCCGTAAAATTTCGATTTAAAGCTTTCGTGACTGCAGGGATTCATCTTCTTGGTTATTTCGGTAAAGTCACGTAGAAGGGAAATAAAAAAATAATAAAAATAAAACAATATTTCTATCAATTCCGGTTCGGCGATTCTGCACTTGCTCTATTACTATAGCACTATACCGCCTTCAACTTTTATGAACGACCGGGTGTTTAAGGTGAGCGATTAGTCGTATTATCTGGCTGTATAGCAAATGAAAAAATACAATTACTATAGCAAGTAAAAAAATTGTGTTTCAATATTTACGTGTTTTTTTATATTTAGGGCCCCTTTATAACATATGCTACAGGCCCCGCACTATCTTAATCCGGCACTGGGGGAAGGGGTTTAAGAATCTCTGTCGGGGATTCAACTTCGGAGTGATAATCGTGACACCTACAGGGTAGCAGTCCGTGCGATAACCTCCTGCTCATAATTACCTCCTGCGAGAACAGGTGTGATTGGGTTTTTTCGTTGTGTAAATCTGAACTTAATACTGGAATGCAACGTGTATCATCCCAGCGCGTCGTCAGAAATGACTTGTCTTTAGACAACAGGGACGTTTGTAGGCACGTGTGTATCTACGTTGAACTTCTTCCGCTACTCGCGTAGCCAACCGTGCTAATCGGAGGTGCGGGACGCTGACGGAGGCTATGGAAACACAAAACTGATAAGTGCGCAGAGAAGCTTGGCGAGGGTGGGAGCGTACTTGCTCGGAATAATAACACTGAGACCACGGAGAAAGGAACGCACGGGTCATGGAAACGTACATGTCCTCCTGCACCCTCCTCCTCTCTTGCTTCTCTTCCACTCTTTTCTCCCCTACCTCCTCTTCCCCCCCTCCCCATCCTCATCTCCCCTCTATCTTCCTCCTCTCTCCTCCTCTCCTCCACAACATTCTCCCCCCCACACCCCATTCATGGCGTCATTCTCCAACTTCACTCCGCTCTCTCCGGCTTTCTCCTCTTCCCCTCTTCTCTCCCCTGCCTCCTCTTCCCCCCCTCCCCATCCTCATCTCCCCTCTGTCTTCCTCCCCTCTCATCCCTCCCCTTTCCTCCCTCCCCTCTCCTCTCCTCCCTCTCTCCTCCCCAACATTCTCCCCCCCCACACCCCATTCATGCCGTCATTCTCCAACCTCACTCATCTCTCTCTCTCTCTCCGTCCCCGGCAGAGGAGGCAGTGGCTGCAGGAGGCACTGTCGGTGTCCATGAGCAGCGCTCAGGACGACGTTCAGCTCATGAAGCAGGCCCTCGACATCCTGCGGGCCGGGCCGGGGGGCCATTCAGAGGCCCACCCTGGGCCGTCGCCGCTGCCGCCGCCGGAACCCGACGCGGAGGCCCCGGAGGATCTGCCGGAGGTGACGACGCGGCTGATTAACGCGCTGGACGCTCTGCTTGACGTCACCGACAACATCGACAACGCTCAGGGTGGGTGGGCGCACACGGCTAAGGCCCCGACTCCCCCCCCCCGCCCCTCTCCCACCCTGGTCTCTCGCTCGGGACGTTGCAGCAGTCGGCCAGTGAAGGCCCGGTCAGGCGGCCCACGTGACCAGCAGCCGCGGCTCGCGCTATGCCTAGAGGAATACCGGATGTGGATGTGTCCTCTAGATTGAATACAACATTGTATGTGTGTGTGTGTACTTGGTGCGCTACTCAGCGGGCAGCTGTCTCTTCTGGTGGTTGCGCTTTGTGCGCCCCTGTGTTTTTTAGAACGCGTCAACTGCTACTGCCGCCGCACAGAGCTAGGAGGGAAACCTGCGTTGCGCAGTAACCCCGTTACTCTCACGCCTTTCACCTCTCTCTGTCCCCTCCGCCTCCTTCACCCTCCTTCCTCTCCTCTCCGCTCCTCCCCCCCCTCTCCCCCGAGCCAGACTTCTGCAAGCTGGGCGGCATGGCGCTGGTGGTGCAGCGCTACCTGGACGCGGACATGCGCCGAGCTGCGGTGGCGCGCCGCCGAGCTGGTGGCGACGTGCGCGCAGAACGCGCCGCGCGTCCAGGAGGCGGCGCTGGAGCTCGGGGCGCTGCCGCGGCTGCTGCGCCGCGCCGACGCCGACGCCGACACGCGCGTGCGCGTCAAGGCGCTGCTCGCCGTCTCGTGTGAGTCCCTCTATCCGGACGTCGTCCGCTGTGGCTGGGGGATGTTGACCACCTCGCCTGGTGTGCAGGAGGTCGTGGGTTCGGATCTCCACCCTTGGCGCCTGTTGTATGTTTGGAGTTTTGCGTGTCTCTCTCTCATCATCATCACGGTGGCTAGGAGATGTTAACTATCTCGCCTGGTACGCAGGGGGTCGTGGGTTCAGATCTCCACCCTTGGCGTCTGTTGTATGTTTGGAGTTTTGCGTCTTTCATCATCATCACGGTGGCTAGGAGATGTTAACTACCTCGCCTGGTGTGCAAAGGGTCGTGGGTTCGATCCCGACCCTGATGATGCCTGCTTCTATATTTTGAGTTTGCGTGTCTCTCTGTCTCTCTCCCCGTGGTCGCGTGGAATTTTCTCCACATCCTCCGGTTTTTCCCTCCACATATAGAATCAACACGACGCATTTGGCTGCTATAAATTTCCACGTGGCAATGAGTCACTGTCATTTTCGATGTCCAGGTCGCTCCTGAAAAAGAGCTACATAGCTCAGTGTGGGCCTTACCTGGTAAAATAAAAAAGCTTTATCGTTTTAGTCCGTCATTGTCATTGTCAACGACGGACGGGCTACATGCACATGTTGCAGGTCCTCTCGCGAAGCGTCGTAGGCTCGCTTGCTGGCTGGCTGGTAGGGGTCTGAGGTTGCGGGACGGACGGTGCCATGTGGGGGTTGACCGACCGACTGAGATGTCTGGCAGATGCACCGCCTGCGCTGTTCACCGTGCCGGCTCGCCACCCCGCTGCGTGTTGATTGATCGACTGAGAGAGATGATAATCTTCTCGGTTCTTTTTTGGGATGCTGCGGCCACAGTGGCTACGCCGCCACTGCTACCGCCGCCGCTGCTGCTGCTGCACGTGGCTGCCGGTAGTCCAGTCCTGTGTGGAGGTGTTGCGAACCTCCATTCTTGCGCGAGGAGCGCGTACCCCTGGTTCGCCAGGAGAGGGGGCAGTACAGCAAAGTACGGATGAATATCATCTGTCCCTTTCACGCGTGCATTTCCTCACATGTAATAACCACTTGGCCGAAAAACATCTTCATATATAGAGGACCGCAGAGTTTGGGCAATCGTTGGCTCGGGCTGCCCACCGCCTGGGTGCCGCCCCTTTAACCGCTCGCCTGCGGTTCCTCCTCGGCGACAGCGACGGTTGCGGTTTGTCGCGAGCGGCGACAGCGTTTTGTTTTTGTTTACTTGGTTTTACTTTTCGTCATTTTTTAATAAATACATTTTTTTTTTTACTTTTTTAAAAGTTAAAGAAACATTTCTTTGTTTAACTTCATACATTTTTCTTTCCATTTTGACTTATTTTCACTTTACTTTTGCTTCACTTTTTTCCAAATTTTCTGTTTTTCTTCCCAGGCCTGGTGCGCGAGCAGCCGCTGGGTCGCCTCGCGTTGGCGCAGGGAGACGGCTTCTCGGTGCTGCTGCGAGCCATGCAGGACCCCGGCGAGAGGCCGCGGGCCAAGGCCGCCTTCCTCCTCCACAGCCTTCTCATGGCCGCACCGAGAACCACGGTGGGTTTGGCGCTGGGGTGGCGAGGCGTCTACTCCCTCGCCGGGTACGCAGGAGGTCGTGGGTGGGTGCTCGATCGCGACCCCTGACGATGCCTGCTGCTGCTGTATATTTGAAGTTTGCGTGTCCCTCTCTTTCCCCGTGGTTGCTAATTAATTCCCACGCGATGATAATAAGCCCACTTCGTCGAGCTATCATTCGTGATAGCCAGGGCACTTCTGAAAAGAGCTACGTAGCCCAGTGGGCCTCTGCCTGGAAAAATAGAAAGTTTAAAGGTTCCCGCGGCACTACTGCCACCGCCACCACAATGGCGGCAACAGCAGCAATAGCGGCAGGCAAGCGGCCAACTCACCACGGTGAGGGTGGTGACGTCGCCGCAGCATTCGTGCCAGGCTAGGTGCACTTGCGGGTCGTCCCGTGAAGTGTCCAAGGCTTGCTTGCTAGCAGGAGGTCATGGGGGACGGACTCAGGCGGTGACGTGCGTGGGTTGACCGCGTGAGCCGAGATGCCTGGCAAGTGCACCGCCTGTGGTCCCAACTTGTACCAACTCGCTGCGTGTTAGCCGCACACCAGAGGTCGCGAACGGGTTTTGATTCCTTACCCGTACCCGGTCGCACCAGGGTCGCAATCGGGTACCCGTACCCTACCCGATACCCGGCTACCCGTACCCGGCCGGGTATCGGGTAGGGTATGGGAACTCGATTGCGACCTCTGGGATGAAGCCATGTTGCAGGCGCGGGTGGGTTGATTCTAGGAACTTGAATTGTGAGAAGAGACAAGACGTTGGGAAATGAGTGACAAACGGTAACTCACCAGTGACTCACGGTCTACCCGTACCCGTACCCGGCCGCACCAGGGTCGCAAACGGGTACCCGTATCCGGCCGGGTACGGGTAGCCGGGTATCGGGTAGGATACGGGTATCGGGTACCTGATTGCGACCTCTGCCGCACACATACAGACACGCAGGTGTGACATCCAGACGCATACGGGCGCAGAGAAAAGACGAAGGTTCCTCCGATAGGCCTTCACAGACTGTTGGGGCAAGTGCTGTTAGCGAGCACCTATGAAGGCCGGCACGGCACGTGGGTGGGTAGGTGGCTAACGCCACGCCTGGCCACCTTGTTTCCCCAGTTGTGATGTTTACACGCTGCACCAGGTACTCATTTAATGGCGAGTCGAGTTAGGGGGGAGGCCTGGTCGATGCGCTACCCACACGCATCAGCCCATCTCTTCTCTAGCCCATATCGTGCCTGTTTAGCCTGCCGTGTCCAGCCTAACAGAAGCTGCTTGGGCATGTGGTGGCAGGAGAGACACGCGAGCTACGTGACGCTGCCAACTCGGCCTCGCCTCTCCCGGATATTTCGAGGCTCTGTAATCCTGTCTGGTTAAACTCCGCATGGATCGTAGGCAGGCCTGCCTCAATGTTTGTGTGTGTGTGTGTACACGTGTGCGTGGGGAGCGGTAGTGTAGTGGTTAGCGCGCTGCACTACGAACCTGGCGACCCGTGTTCGATTCCCGCTCACGGCAAACACCAGTGACGATTATCTGAACCGGTCCTGGGCCTCCCCTAGGTCGAATCAGCCTCAAATGAGTACCTGGTGTGGTGTGTATACATCACCGCTGGGGAGACAGGCGGTCGGGCGTGGTGCTGGCCACCCACCCCCTCGTTTGTGTACCGTTCCGGCCTTCATAGGTGCTCGCTAACAGCACTTGCCCCTACAGTCTGTTAAGGCTATACGGGGGATCTTTGATCTTTGTGCACGTGTGTGGATATGTGAATGTTTACACCCGTGTGTGTGTGTGTGTGCAGAAGAGCTGTGCGCGATGGGCATGGTGCAGCAGTTGGTCGCCCTGCTGCATGCCCCCCATGAACCCTTCCACGAGCATGTGCTCGGAGCACTGTTCAGGCAAGTGCCTGCACACCTACAACATGTATGCACACCTACACACCTACAACATGCATACACACCTACAACATGCATGCACACCTACACCTACAACAACATGCATACACACCTACAACATGCATGCACACCTACACACCGACACAAAGATCCCCCGTGTCGCTTTAACAGACTGTTGGGGCAGATGCTGTTAGCGAGCACCTGTGAAGGCCGGCACGGCACACGAAGTGGTGGGTGGCCAGCACAATGCCCGACCGCCTTTGTCTCCCCATTGGCGATGTTTACACACCGCACTAGGTCCTCATTTGAGGCCGAGTCGACCTAGGGGAGGCCTATGACCGGTTCAGATGATCGTCACTGGTGTTGGCCGTGAGCGGGAATCGAATTCTGGTCGCCGGGTTCGTAGCGCAGCGCGCTAACCGCTACACCACCGCTGTACTCACCTCGACAAAGATCCCCTGTGTAGCCCTAACAGACTGTTGGGGCAAGTGCTGTTAGCGAGCTCCCAACAACAACAACCGCCATTCGCCACTAAGTGGCGGTGACGTCACCACGACGCTTGTGCCAGGCCATGTGCACCTTGAGGCCACGTGAAGTGTCGAACGACCCGCTGGCAGGAGCTTCCTACACGCACACATACACAGACACACGCACACCTGAACGTGCACACTGCATCAGCATCAACGACCTTCAAGCAAAGCCCTCCACACACACACAGAGCACCGTGCGCCGGAGCGGAAGAGTAACGCCCGCGCGCGTGCACCGCGCCTGTCACCGCAGCCTGGTGTCGGGGCACGGAGCGGCGCTGCGCGAGAGCCGTGCGGCCGAGCTGCGCCTGCGGGAGACGCTGCTGGAGAGGATCGGCCTCCTGGAAGGCTCCGAGCAGCACCTGGTACGGCACCTTCCCCTCCCATCGCTCCTCCTCCTTGCTGTGGTGTGGCAGCCTCTCCCCGACTCCGGCGTGAAGAGCCGTTGTATTGCACTCGCACTTGAACTTTTGTGGTCCTTGATAACACTGGTCAACACACTTTTTCTGGCATAAGGTATATCCAACGGTTTTTAAGGTCAAGTTTTCCATTCTACGTGACTTTACCGAAAGAACCAAAAAGATGAATCCCTGCAGTCACGAAAGCTTTAAATCGAGGTTTTAAGGTAATTTTGGGGTGCTGATTCCAAATCTGGCATCGTTTTTTGTCTATCACATCGGGTTTTTGAGATATCAAATATTACATTTTCAATAAAAACTGCGGAAGAAATGTTTTAAATAAATGTGGATATCTACATTAAATTATATTATAAACACACTATCCTAAAAATACAGCACCATATTTTAACACTAAAGCAGTCACTGACTCGCAACAACTTGCAATCATAGGTGACAGAGTTAATTTCGGGTAAAATCAATGAAAATGGGGTATACCGATAGCATAAAAATGAGATGTGATAGAGCAAATCTGAGATGAGATTTGGAATCGGCACCCTGAAACTAGTCGAGAACAGCTGCAAAAGTCCAGGCCAGAATTTTTTTTTTGTTGACCTGTGTAATAGTTGCTTTAAGTGAGGGCATAGACAGCAGAACTATAGGCGGTTTTCAAACCTTTGGGGCAGCTGCCGTTGAATGATCTTGATCCAAACTGCGCACACGCACGGAATCTAGGAAACTGCTAAACGGCCGAATCAGACGCGCGCCGCAGAACTTTTTTGGGATTGCGCGACAAAGTCGCACCGATGTCGTGACGAGCCGCTGTGTGATGCACTTTGTGACTCATTTTGTGATGCTCCGGTGTGTGATGCCCTTTGTGACGCCCCAGTGTGACATGTCTTGTGACGCGCCGGTAACGTGCTGGTGTGTGCGCGTGTCGCGGCCGCAGGAGGCACTGGAATTTTGCCGGACGCTGCTGCAGCTCACGGAGGCGCCGGGTGAGGAGGTGGCGATGGACCGGTGACGCCGGCGGCGGTGGCGGCGGCGACGACCGGGGAAACGCTCCCCGCGATCCTCCCATGAAATGGGCGCCGAGTTCGCGACCGCGTCTTAACGCCGCGCGTCTCCACGCACGCCACTCCCTCTTTGCCCGGTGCCGCGCGCGGGCGGTGGGCCAGGTTTCTTAACCCCCTTTTCCCAGGCGGTGAGGAGAGCCGGCGCTAACGATTTCCCAAGTTCTGCGATCCTCCATGCACGAAGATGTTTTCGGCCAATTAACCCTCTGCCGTCTCTGAGACCGTCTTGCAAGTTGCAAGGGGCGGGCGGGTGCCCCGTTCACCGCCGACTCTCGGAACGCGGCGCGATGCGGCTCGGCGATTATTTTATTTGGGGAGGCGTAGCGCCCCGTTGTTATGTTAAAGACGTGGCGCTCGCCGCAGAGAACCCAGCGACGCGGCCGCAACCCTCCGATAGCCGGCGGGCGAAACTGCGACGCTGGAGGTTTTGTACGTCTTCCAACCTGAAGACGTTGACCGGTAAAGCTTACTGCATTTTAGTTGCACGCGCTTCACCGGAACGGAATCTGAAGAAAAGCCGACGACGTGCACGTACGTCGCGTACGTCGTCGGAACGAAGGGAGGGTTACATCCCTCCGGCCCTTGACCCCCGCAGCCGCGGTATGAACGGGGGCCACCCAGTAAAGACCGGGCAACGTTCCACGCTTAACCGGCCACTCGGTGGGGAGGCCCTCGTCCAACGGCGGATGCGCGCGAGGGCTCGAGCCGTGCTGCACGCGCAGACGATGGCGGCTTCGTGTGGCGCAGATGCGGTCCGAGGTCTTTGCTTGCAACCCGAAGAGAAACCGCGGGGAGAAGTTGAGGGGGGAGTGTGGGGGGGGTCCCTGTCAAAGTTACGCCCCTGGAGGTTCCGATTTATTTCACTCGCGGCCGTGCACACAGGGTCAGCCGACAAGCTCCACGTTGCTCATGGAACCCCCTTGTCGCTGAACGTTTCCAAACGACGACGACGATAAATATTTTTCGTTCTGCGGCGTCGTCGTCGTCGTCATCCGACGACTTTCACGTGAATCGCATCGCTCGCAATCGCCGAGGAGCCGGCGTTACCAACAGTTCAGTTGCCCGAGCTCTGCATGCCTCTATATATGTGAAAAGATGTTTTTCGGCCCGTCGGCGGGGCGAGTGTTTTAGACGTGCGAGAGGAAAGCGGGGGAATACCCACGCTCGCCCACGAGGAGGCAACGCTCGTATCCCCGCACGGATGGGACCGGTGATATTTAGTTCGCAGTTTGCTTCAGCGCCACCGCCACCTGGCAGAGCCCCCGGGCACGGCTCCACCTCGACGCCCAACCCACAGCGAGTTTGGCAGCCCGTCCCTGCGGAGGTCCACCACGCTGCCGCCTCCCAGAGCACCGGATCACAGACTGCCATGTGCAGGGCAGAGGTCGCAACCGGGTACCCGATACACGGCTACCCGTGTGTCGACGCTGAAGTAATCCCGAGTGCTGGACTGCGCGTGTGTTTATGTAGGGAGCGGTGGTGCAGCGGTTAGCGCTACGCCGCGCTGCGCCACCGACCCGGCAGAGGCCCGAGTTCAATTCCCGCTCGCCAACACCGGTGACGATTTAACTGAATTGTTCCCGAGTCTCCCCAAGGTCGATTAAGCCTCAAACGAGTACCTGGTGTGTTGTGTAAACATCGCCACTGGGGAGACAAAGGCGGCCGGGCGTGGTGTTGCCCCCCCCCCCCACCACTCGTGTGCCGTGCCGGCCTTCATAGGTGCTACTCGCTAACAGCACTTGCCACTACAGTATGTTAAGGCTACACGGGGGATCTTTGTCTTTGGTGCAGAGAGTGACCGCCCCGTGAAGAATTTCTCAATGGGCTCTCCCAACTGTAGATAACCGGTTCATTCATAATTCACAACCGCGCTTCCCTCCCCTATCCCCCCTCACCCCGCACATTCCCAACTGCCCTCCCCCCCCATCTTCGCGTGTACGAACGTAGTATGGTCCACATGGCCTGTGTTGTTTCTCGAGCACTGTCATGCCCGTGGAACGTACCATTATTTTAACGGGGGTGATCCCACATTTTCGCTTGTCGGCATTTCTAAGCATCCACATCGCACACCGCGCACACCGCGCATGTTAATGCCTTTGCCCTGCCCTCTGTTCGAACTTGGACGCAGCCTGCCTCGTCGCGAATGTGAATCGTCACGTTGCAGTAATGCATGCAAGGTTTTCACTGTTGATACCTGGTTGAAGGCGGTGTCAAAATATATAATTTGTATCCCTCCGTTATCGATTACACGCCGTTACAGTCACTGGAGGTTGTATGACCATACTTCACCGCTTTGGTCAGAGGAGGTCGACGGGGAGTGGAGGGGGTGGTGCGTGAGCCGATTTAAATATCGCAATAACTCCTGTCGTCGCGGAAAAGATGAAATAAAATGCCTCCTTCATATCCAGTATCCGTGTGTCCGGGTGAAAGAAAAATACAATTTAGTTTAATCATGGGACCTCCTTTGCCAGTACCAACATGTGAGAATAGGTTTTCCCCCTTTTTTCTGGCAACAAAACAGATGTTGAGATGTTAAAACGCCAAACTGAAACATTCCTGCGGAGGGAGCTGGTAGGAACGTTGGGTTGCTCGGTCAATGGCCAGGGTCAACGGCAGCGTGGTGTATTCCGCAAATATGGACGACTGTGAGGGCGGGCACAAGCCGGCGTGAGTAGGTTAAACGTTGAGTTTTATAAGGGCACCACGGGGTGACCAGTCCCACCCCACCCAGCCCCTCACCACCCAGCCCCTCCCCACCCAGCCCTCCCTGCACGTCGGACGGACACAATAATCCTCTGTGGGCTGGTGTAACCAGGAGGTTCCTAACAGTATTAACCACAATACGTGTGGTCAGAATGCAAAAAAAATTATAATCAATGCATCGTCTTTGAAACTGGGCCACACCAGAGACAGCTTTCTTTGAGCCTCGTCTCAAAACGGTGTTTGACCAAAGTGGAAAACCTATTCTCATGTTTTTGGTACTGGCAAAGGAGGTCCCATGATGTAGTTGCTCCCCCTGATCCCTCATTACTCTGATAGTGCGTTGTCTTTGAGCTGTGTACGCCTTTTGACGTCCTCTGGTCTAACACCGTTTTGAGACGAGACTCAAAGAAAGCTGTCGCTGGTGTGGCCCAATCAGTTTCAAAGACAATGCATGTATTCTAGATTTGAAGCTTTCGTGACTGCAGGAATCCATACTCTTTGGTTCTTTCGGTAAAGTCACGTGGGTAGAAAAAAGAATAGATCATGACGTTTCGATCGCAACGCATCAGACGATTGCTTGCGTTGCGATCGAAACGTCGTGAGAATGTTATTGTTTTATATTTTTATTATTTTATTGTTTCCCTTCTACGTGACTTTACCGAAAGAACCAAGAATATGAATCCCTGCAGTCACGAAAGCTTTAAATCGAATTTTGGTGTTGAGATGTTAAAACACCAAACTGAAACCTTTAACAAGTAATCGTGTCACTGCATTAACCACAACACTTGTGGTCAGAATGCAAAACAAAAAACACACTCTGATAATATATTGATTATACTCTTTGGTTCTTTCGGTGGTAAAGTCACGTGGGTAGAAAAAATAATAGATCGCGACGTTTCGATCGCAACGCCATCAGACGATTGCTTGCGTCGCGATCGAAACGTCGTGATCTGTTATTAAATCCTTTATATTAAGTTCGCTTGCTTGCTTGCGTGCTTGCTTGCTTGCTTACGACCGTGCAAACCTTTCGGTCGTTTTTTAACCCACTTCCCGTGATCCAATCGAGCTGACATTTTGCACACAGACTCGTTGTGCGAGACAATGTTCGTGAAAAAAAATTCCAAAATTTTACACTGTTTAGGGAAAACAAATTAAATATTTAATTACCAATTGTTTAATACTGCAGACAATCATCTGACCAATAGGTGGCAGCCATCTCAAGCCAGAGGACGAGAGGACTCTAGCCGCCACGCATATAAAGGATTTAGAGTGAAAAACTTTGTTTTTACGGGTTATACTTATTTCTACCTTAGTGACTTTACCGCAGGAGAAGGTGCTACTGTACAGCGAAGTGTGGACTAATCCCCATCTGTTCATTCCTTCTGTACGGGGATAGAGTGTTGCCCCCTCGCACGTTGCTTGGGTTATCTCTGCGGTGTCCCCGTTTTCCTCCCACACGTGTAGAACAACAACAACAATATTAAACACTGGTCAAGGATTTGGCTGAAACCCGCTTTAATTAAAACGCCCCCTAAACGTAATGGCAGGATCCTGCTGAAAACGTCCCACGACTAAGTGTGAATCTCCTGGCTAAACAAGTCAACGTGTAAACGACAACGTGGATTTCTGCTGCTTCAACACAAGGGACACGCACAAAAAAACAAAGAACGGGACTGGCTTGGACACGTGGTGGTCTCATCGGGCCGGCTTTTAATCGATGCTGGATAACTGCCCAGATGTTCTAAGGGTTCCTGGTTTCTACGTCAACTTATATATTTTTTAAAAAACGTCACTCAAAATAATCGACAGCGTCGCCGTTTAAAAATCTAAAAACATTAATTAATGATCTCGGTAAACAAACATTCACCGTTTAAATGTGTGCTTGGTGTCTGCTTCATACGCAAAAGTCCACACGAGGCGGTGGGTGGCCAGCACCGCGCCCGGCCGCCTTTGTCTCCCCAGTGGCGATGTTTACTACGCACCGCACCAGGTACTCATTTGAGGCTGAGTCGACCCAGGGGAGGCCCAGGACCGGCTCCCGTACAGTATTCGTCACCGGTGCTGGTGGCCGTGAGCGCGCTAACCGCTGCACCACCACTCCCCACAGCACACAAAGACAAAGATCCCCCGTATAGCCTGTAACAGACTGTTGGGGCAAGTGCTGTTCGCGCTGCACCACAATACACTCACAAAGACATAGATCCCCCGTGTAGCCTGTAACAGACTATTGGGGCAAGTGCTGTTAGCGCTGCACCACAAAACACACAAAGATCCCCCGTATAGCCTGTAGCAGACTGTCGGGGCAAGTGCTCTTACCGCACCACACACATACATCACACACACAGACACACGCACAAACACACACAACAAAGATCCCCCATATAGCATTAACAGACTGTAGGGGCAAGTGCTGTTAGCGAGCACCTATGAAGGCCGGAACGGCACACGAGGGGGTGGGTGGCCAGCACCACGCCCGACCGCCTTTGTCTCCCTAGTGGCAATGTTTACACCCCGCACCAGGTACTCATTTGAGGCTGAGTCGACCTAGGGGAGGCCCATGACTGGTTCAGATAATCGTCACTGGTGTTGGCTGTGAGCGGGAATCGAACCCGTGTCTCCGGGTTCATAGCGCAGCGCGCTAACCGCTACACCACCGCTCCCCACAAGACTGTTGGGGCAAGTGCTCTTAGCGCTGCACCACAACACACACAAAGACAAAGATCCCCCGTGTAGCCTGTAGCGGACTGTCGGGGCAAGTGCTCTTACCGCACCACACATGCACCACACACACAGACACACACACAGACGCACGCACAGACACACACGCACACACAGACACACACACAACAAAGATCCCCCGTGTAGCCTTAACAGACTGTAGGGGCAAGTGCTGTTAGCGAGCACCTATGAAGGCCGAAACGGTACACGAGGGGGTGGGTGGCCAGCACCACGCCCGACCGCCTTTGTCTCCCTAGTGGCAATGTTTACACACCGCACCAGGTACTCATTTGAGGCTGAGTCGACGCACACACACAGATGCACACACACATACAGCACACACACATACAGCACACACACAGGGTGCAACAGCCTTTGCCCGTGATGACTTATTCATGCTAATGCGAGTCGAGCCAAACGGCGATCAATAGCACGCAGCGGGGACTGCATCCAGAACGGCCCCGTCTCGCAGTGGGGGGTGGGGGGGCGCTGTTAGAACAGCGACGCACGTGGCGAAGAGACGGGGAACTGAGCGGCATTGCAATGCGCCGGTGTGGGATGTGAGTTCGTTATAATTGGGGCATCGTTGTTTGTTTTTTTTGTGTTGGAAACTAATTTCAGGCATCTTCTTGGTTCTTTCGGTAAAGTCACGTAGAATGGAAATAATAAAGTAATACAAATAAAACATAATAAAATGATTCTCACGACGTTTCGGCCACAACGCAAGCAGCCGTCCTCAGGTGAAGAACAGGTCTGTCAGAAAGACGCTGGTCGAAACGTCGTGAGAATTATTTTATTATGTTTTATTTTTATTATTTTATTATTTCCCTTCTCCGCCAACCCCACCAGCAGCGCCCTCCCACGTGAGCCATGTGAGGTCATCATTGGGGCCGTCCATAAATGACGTCACGTACCTAGGGGCGGGGGGGGTCAGACATTTGTGACGAGGGGGGGAGGGGGTTTGAGAAGTGTGACGTCACATCAAAATGCTCAACTTTAAATAAATATAGACAACACGTTCTACTTATGATAATTGGTTCTTTACCCTTCTATCTGGCAACAAAACTGACACCTTTTTGCAAGGAGTCATGTTTGCATAGACCGCAATACCTGCAGTCATAAACTGGCAAATGAGGTCCCCATAGTGTAGATGCTTGCCCCGAGCTCTCATACTCTGATGGTGCATTGTCCTTGAGTTGTGCGCCTTTTGGCGTCATCTGGTCCAACCCATATGAGACTAGGCTCGAAGGAAAGCTGTCTCGGGTGTGGACCAATCAACTTCAAGGACAGTGCACATTATCAGAGTTATGTCTTTTGTTTGTATTTATGACTGCAGGTATTGCGGTCTATGCAAACATGACTCCTTGCAAAAAGGTGTCAGTTTTGTTGCCAGATAGAAGGGTAAAGAACCAATTATCATATTTTTACTGGCAAATGAGGTCCCCATAGTGTAGATGCTTGCCCCGAGCTCTCATACTCTGATGGTGCATTGTCCTTGAGTTGTGCGCCTTTTGGCGTCATCTGGTCCAACCCATATGAGACTAGGCTCGAAGGAAAGCTGTCTCGGGTGTGGACCAATCAACTTCAAGGACAGTGCACATTATCAGAGTTATGTCTTTTGTTTGTATTTATGACTGCAGGTATTGCGGTCTATGCAAACATGACTCCTTGCAAAAAGGTGTCAGTTTTGTTGCCAGATAGAAGGGTAAAGAACCAATTATCATATTTTTACTGGCAAATGAGGTCCCCATAGTGACGTTCTACTTAGTTAAATAGACTTTTTAATAAATGTTTTCTCCTACAACGTCAGAGTGCAGCGCCACATTAAATACGCACTACAATGACAATAGTTTAAAGCGATTTGAAGCATGTTATAGTTTCAAAATGGAAATATAGTTTTCGGGGGGGGGCAGAGCTTTGTGACGTCATATTTGAGGGGGGGGGGTCTGACGTTTTGTGACGAGGGGTCAAAAATCGTCCAAAATCGCGTGACGTCATTTATGGACGGCCCCATACTTCACCACCAAGTTGGTCGGCGGCAGAGGTCAAGGCCGGTGCTGAGAGCCGGCGCCTCTGATGTCAGCCGTGGCCTGGGATGGGAGTCGGGGTTTGCACCTTTGTCAGAATCGGAATGTTTCTTTGTACCGGAGGAATCCGATGCGCTACAAAGTTCTTTGTCACAGATGTTCAGTTTACCTCTCACAGCAAGCACTGCTCCGTATCGCCGTAAGTTGCACTCGTCCGTACGTTACTGCACAACACACTAAATTGTGTTGTTACGATTTAATAATTCACTCAGCCTTAGGAAATTCTGATGTCGATTTCTACATCTTCATTATATGTGATTGCATCATCGTGACGACAACATTATCGTCATGACGACATCGCAATGATAATGACGTCATCATCATGACGACATCATACACTACACAAAACACTAGTCTATACACTACACCATAAACTACACTATACACCACACTATACACTACACCATACACTACACTATGCATTATACACTACACTATACACGACACACTACACCATACAATACACTATACACTAGACTATACACTACACTATACACTACACCAAACACTATACACTAGACTATACACTACACTATACACTACACCATACACTACACTATACACTACACCATACACTAGACTATACACTAGACTATACACTAGACTATACATAACAACTATACACTACACTATACACTACACCATACACTACACACTACACTATACACTAACACTATACACTACACTACACACTACACCATACACTACACTATACACTACACTATACACTACACCATAAACTACACTATACACAACACTACACCATACACTACACTATACACTACACTATACACTACACTACACACTACACTCTCCTAGTAACTAATTGTCGCGTTTTGTCTACGTGACAATGGCTGCGTCGGGTGGTGGAGGGTTACGACACAACATTTATACTCCCGCGATCTAACCCTCCAAAAAAAAACCTTGACTGTGAACAGAATAACTCATACTCTTTGGTTCTTTCGGTAAAGTCACGTAGGTATAAAATAAAATAATTCACGACGTTTCGGGCGCAACACAAGCAATCATCATCAGATGGGGAAGCATGGCCTGCTTGCTGAGGCAGACTTTTAGGTGCCTGTTGAGAACTCCGTGCAAGGACCACCCTGGATTGGAACCACATTGGGACTCCGTTCGCGAGCATCTTGTGGAGGCTGTGAATGTGAACTCCCTCGCCTGGCATACACGAGGTCGTGGGTTCGATCCCGACCCTCACGATGCCTCTTGCGTGTTTGTCTACGGGACCACCGGGGTTTTCTCCCTCCACGTTTAGAATCAACATCTCGCGTTTGGAGTATTTGGCTGCTATATAAAAAATCTACGTTGAGCTATTCATTTGTGGCGGGGCTTTACCTGGTAAAATATAACAACAACAAAACAATTGGCGATGTTGAATAATCCTTGCCAGGATCTTCCCCAGCACACAATTGAGAGAGGAGACGAGCCTGGTGATTGCTACAATCAATGCACTCGACCTATTTATATATATTTTTAAAGTGTAATCACCGGGGCATCCTTCCAATCCTGCGGAACCCGTCCCGTGACCCAGCCTCTTATAATTGCGTCACACAGGGCAGACCTGCACACACACAATTGCCACCTTCCCTCTCAGCAGTTGACTTGGAAGGTCGTCTCATCAGCCAGCCACACACACACCCAGGGGGATGGCCACTTCCTCCAATGTTTGAGGCGGCACTGCTCCGCCAGGGCTAACGCCACATTGCCCCGCGATGACCTCTGAGCAGAGGGATTTCCCCTCCCCTGAGAGCTCATAGAAATGCTCGGCAAGTCTGCAAAACATTGCTCTTGGAGTTCAGAGATCACGAGATCACACTCGTTCCCCTAAGGATGGTAATAGACTCGGGTGAGGCAAAGCCATTTGTGTTGATGGACTTAAAGGATCGGTTGGGATCGCGTGTTACCGAGGCATTTTTCATCTCATCGTCAAACCGCGACCGCCACTCATCCTTGCAGCGCCGCACGGCTCTCCGAACCTCTGAGCGGAGGCTACGGTGGGCCTCCTCGTTCTTGGACGTGGAATATTGTGGCCCAGTGGTTCTAAACCAGTTGCTGCAGCCTTGCAGCACGGGTTAAAGCAATGTACAATGTTAATAACTACTTATTCTTAGGTTTTTTCGGTAAAGTCACGTAAGTAAAAATTAAAATAAAAGTAAAATACAAATAAAATAAAAATCACGACGTTTCGGAGGCAACACAAGCTTCCGTCTTCAGGTGGAACCGTCGTGATTTTATTTTATTTTTATTTTACTTTTATTAATTTTAATTTTTTACCTACGTGACTTTACCGAAAAAACCTAAGAATATGAATCCTTGCAGTCACGAAAGCTTCAAATCTAGAGTTAATAACTACATCCGGTTCGATGAAACAAAGGAAATTGTTGCTAATGTGCTCGTGCTTAATTTTTTTTCTTTTCGATGATTTACCTTCAAGAAAAACAAATTTGGTCACGTCTCGCAGTGATGCACCACCAGGCTAAGAAGACGAACCGATGTTGTAGACGGTGGGATGTGGGCCTGCCTCGTTCTCCCAGCTGACTACAAGACCTTCTCCATCAGCCAGGGTCTCTAGCGAGGCCCGGAACTCCACGGGTACAATGCTGGTGATCCCAGCTGCAAGCGACGATCAACTCATACCGTGCTGTTTTTATTTCCACGCTTTTTATTGAACTCACTGTCTGTTGTATGCTCAAATCTTGTAACTCAATTTTAACCCACTTCCCAATGTGGTATCGACTGCAAACTTGGTATACTTATGTCATACTGATGACAATACTATATTCTATTATAAAAATACATATTTTAAAACATTCTTTTATATTTGTCATGTTTCGGCTTGGGTCTAATTGCCCACACTTAACTAACGTTGGCTGTAATTCGCTATGGTCCCTTACGTTATGGCAAGCTTCGGGGCCACTTACTGGAGTCGTGGAGTTCTTCCATTACTAGTACATTTCATTAAAGCGTGTTTTAAAAAAAGTTTTTCAAAATATGACTTACGTTTTTTTGTTCGAATGGTAGATGCTCACCACCACCGTAATGGAAGAACGGAAGGCGCGTCTCACACATTCCGTCACCACGTGGCCCAGCAGATGTTACGAGAATAGGTTTTACCCTTTCTGTGAATAAACGAGTTGTGTTAAGATGTTAAAACACCAAACAGAAATATTGCGCAAGCAATCATGTTACTGCTGCGTTAACCAAACAGAGTACTTGTGGTGAACATGCAAACAAAAAACATGCTTGATTTGAAGCTTTCGTGACTGCAAGAATCCATACTCTTTGGTTCTTTCGATAAAGTCACGTAGTTATAAATAAAATAAATCAAATCACGACGTTTCGATCTAAAGGCCTTTACAGGCTGACTTCTTTGCCTGTTAACGACCGCTTGTGTTGAGATCGAAACTTCGTGATTTATTTTATTTCTAACTACGTGACTTTACCGAAAGAACCAAAGAGTATTACAAACACGCTCTGGTAGTATACGATGCGTTGTCTTTGAAACTGATTGGCCCACACCAGAGACATCTTTCTTTAGAGCCCAGTCTCTAACAGCGTAAGACCAGAGGACGCCAAAAGGCGACACACAGCACAAGCACAATGCTACTTATCAGGACATTCATCCAGCATATATTCTTGCCCCGGAATGCGTCCGTGATGCCGTGCATCAATGTGTGTGGCTCACGTTGAACTCCTGTCGCCCTGTTTCGTAGCGGGCGGGGGGAGGGGGACAATAAACTAAACGCCAAAAAAAACCCACGTGGATGATGCGCTGGTGATTCGACAAGGCCATGGGGCTGCACAGAATTCGAGCAGCCTCCTGCTGCCCGTTGTAGAGCTGATCTGGCCCAGATGCTAGCGTCATGATGCCACTCAGACCCAATAATATGCCTCCGTCCCGAGGGGCCACTTTAGCCATCGCTTGAGACGGGAGGTCCATACAACGGCACCCGAATGATCGGCCCTGCCTCCTTGCATCAGCGTCACACAGCGGGGAACGGTGGCGTGGTGGTTTGCGCACTTGTGCTACGAAGCCGCCGACCTAAGTTGACACACACACACACACGTGTGTACACATCTTCACGCACACAGTCACACACGGACACACAATTACACACGCACAATCAGTCTTACAATAGACAGACAAAGATTCCCCGTGTAGCCTGTAACAGACTGTTGGGGCAAGTGCTGTTAGCGAGCAGCACCTATGAAGGCCGGCACGGCACACGAGGGGGTGGGTGGCCAGCTCCACGCGATGTTTACTACACACCGCACCGGATACTCATTTGAGGCTGAGTCGACCAAGGGGAGGCCCAGGACCGCTTCAGATAATCGTCACTGGGTGTTGGTGACCTTGGGCGGGAATCGAACTCGGGTCTCTGGCGGGTTCGCAGCGCAGCGCCGCTAACCGCTGCCCCACCGCTCTCCACACACACAGCCACAACAACAGCCACTCGCCACTAAGTGTCGGTGACGTCACCACGGCGCTTGTGCCAGGCTAGGTGCACCTTGAGGCCACGTGAAGTGTCGAACGCCCACTGGCAGGAGGTCACGGGGCAGACCCAGCAGGTGCCACGGGTCGACTGACTGAGACGACTGGCCGATGCACCACCTGTACCTCCCACTGTACCAACTTGCAGTGTTTTATCAGCCCGGCGCTCTGCTCGTTGTTGTGAGCGTCGCTCCTCCGCCCTCCGTTGTTGTTGGAGGGCGACTGCCTCCAACTGCCCAGTAGTAGCGTCCTTCACGAGCCTCCTCCACAGAGGCCGATCTTGACACCGCTGGTACCAGTCATCGGCAAGTCCACTCAGCTCCACGTCCTCTTGTACCACATCACTCCATCTCTTCTCTAGCCCGTGCTGCGCCCGTTTAGTCCCCTCGATCCGGCTGAACAAAAGCTGTTTAGGCATGCGGTGGCTGGGCATGCGGGCTACATGACCCAGCCAACGCAGCCTTACCTGCCGGAGGAGCTCACCGATGGGACTTTGTCCAGCCATACACGCGTATATCAACAAAACAAATCATCACACACACACCGGGCAAACGCCACACCACACGCACACATGCCCTGATTGAGGAGTAAACGCATGGTGGCCAGGGAGAGACAAAGGCGGACGTTGTCTCACCTAGAGACGCACGAGGTGATACGAGGAGACTGAGACACGCAGATGAAGACACTGACACGGAGAGACAGATACACGGAGACATAGAGAGAGACAGAGACACACAGAGAGACACACAAAGAGACACACAAAGAGACGCACAAAGAGACACACAGAGACACGAGACAGAACACCGAGACAGAGAGACACACAAAGAGACACACAGAGACAGAGAGACACAGAGATACGAGACAGAACACCGAGACAGAGAGACACACACAGATGCATAGCCGCGCAAGACCTGGCGATAGACGCAGAGACACACAGATACAGACAGAGACACACAGGCAGAGACACACAGACACAGGCACAGAGACACAGAGACACAGACAGAGACACACTGACAGAGACACAGACAGAGACACAGACAGAGACAGAGACAGGCAGAGACACACAGACACAGGCACAGAGACACAGAGACACAGACAGAGACACACAGACACAGACAGAGACACAGACATAGACACAGACACACAGACACATAGACAGAGACACAGACAGAGACACACAGACAGAGACACACAGACATAGACAGAGACACAGACACAGACAGACACAGACACAGAGAGACAGGCAGAGACACAGACAGAGACACAGAGAGACAGGCAGAGACACAGAGACACAGACAAAGACACATAGACACAGACAGAGACACAGACAGACACACAGACAGAGACACAGACACAGACAGAGACACAGAGAGACAGGCAGAGACACAGAGACACAGACAGAGACACAGACACAGAGAGACAGACAGAGACACACAGACACAGAAAAAGACACAGAGACACAGACAGAGACACACAGACAGAGACACAGAGACACAGACAGAGACAGAGACACACAGACACAGGCAGAGACAGAGACACATAGACACAGGCAGAGACACACAGACACAGACAGAGGCACACAGACAGAGACACACAGACAGAGACACAGAGACACAGACAGAGACACAGACAGAGACACAGAGACACAGACAGAGACACACAGAGAGAGAGAGAGAGATCGGAGCACAGACAACGATACACTCAGACTGAAAAAAAAAACCCGAAAAAAACCGAAATGACGAACGAAGCGAAGTGCCGACTACACCGAGCATCTTCTTGTTTCCTCTGATCGTAAAAAGAAGAGAGAGACCGGGTGGAGAGGTGGAGGAGGGGCTGGGGGGGGAGAGAGAGGGGAGAGGGAGGGAGGAGAGAGAGGGGGAGAGAGAG